CACAGGAGGTAGGTAATAGACTAACTAACGGCAACCGACAAGGATTTTTAGTTAGTCTATCATTTCTCCTTTCGTCTATTAGAGCCACCAGTTTCAACCAACGGAATCGCCTCTTACTCTATATGTCTTCTTTGTCTATCGCTTTGTCTATCAATTTCAAAAATCAGCCCGCTGACCCGACCAGAGTTCCGTTTATACTGAGAGTCAAGACATGATGAATCCATTCCAGCGGGCTGATTATTGAAATTGATAGACAAAGCAATAGACAAAGAAGACAAAAAGGATGGAGAGGACTTTGGAACCGGCTTTGGTTACGGGTAAAAATTTCGAAATTTCGTCTTATCCATATTTTTTTTACATTGACTCTTATGGAAGTGTCAAAGGGACCGAAAAAAATTTCGTCTTGAGCGGATTTTTGTCTTAACCGTACTTCGTCTTAACGAGCTTTTACTACGTACAATGGCTGACTCATTCATAAAAACCCCGCATCTATAAAAAACGAGTGGCGGATTCGTTGTTTCTGAAATGAGCCATCAGATATTGTAGTTCCTTGTTGCAAAATGTGATCCGATCGGGCCTCCAATTAACATGCGTAATTCGTGTCAACGACCAAGTTCAAGTTAAAAGGCGCGGATCTTTGACAGTGAGCTCTAAAAATAGACTCAAATGAAGGAAGAGTAACTGGCATAGGTTTGTCTGATCGATTTAAATGCAGTGTTTAAAATAAGTCTCTTTAGTTCAATGCACTCCGTTCAATCAAGCGCGATTGAGTGATTTAATGCCTTCTCTCCCTCCACCGAATACCTAAAACAACGGTGCGGATAGACTTAGAAAAAGAAGTTCTGTGACCCAGTGATACACTTTTCCGCCTTGCTTTCCTTTACTAACGTATGTTGTTGTTATACTTTTTCTTAAGACAAACATGTCGTAAATCAGGTTGGGATTCACAGTCTATCATAATTTTCTCTACTTCTGACCCGAGCCAATCCACTTCTCCCTCCCTGGCATCAAGAGGCTTCGAAAACTTTGAAAATTCTCTCTCGCAGCGTGTTTTTAGCTTTGGTTAAGATCACAAAATCTTTCTTATTTTGTTTTTACTCCATAGTTCTCACCTAAGTAGAGCACGTTATGATAAAGCGAGATACTTTTAAGCGATTTTAAAGCTCATGCTAAGTTGTATCTATCTATTGCATTCCATTAAAAAAAAAAAAAAAAAAAAAAAAAAAAAAAAAAAAAAATCTGTGTAATAGGGGGATTGATTTCATGAGGGGATGTAAAAAAATTGCATCTTAAACGGAGAGATTCGACAATTTTAAGTTAGTTTTAATTAGTATTTCTTTCTCTGTGCTGAAATGGAGCTTTCGCTCTCATTCAATTCATCCGTGCGACTATGTCACATTTAGCGTCAAGCGTTCATACGCTCGTATCTTTACGATACCATTTAAATAAAGGCATTGGTTTCCTTTGAAAGAGAGTAAGTGTCAAGGATAAGTTTTAAGACATTGCATCCAAAAAATGCTACTCCTCCGACTTCGGAATTTATTTGCATCAACTTCAAGGAGGCTATTCGTCGTAGTCATCATTCAGTCGTATCATTTTAGTACTCATGTCCACTTTTCTCTCGAGATCAAATGTCGGCAGAGAGTAGGAGGAGGAATAGGATGAAGGTGCGGTCAGAAATTCGAGGAAAAAGCAGAAACGGATTGATTTGAGAGGATTAAAAACAATTCGAAATGAGTTGTGGAATAAACACAACTTGAGAAAAGAGGTTTTACGACAGTGCCTTGGCTCTCTATATTTACGTTGGTGGAAAACATCAATCGGTCGATATAGCATTTATTCATAGGACCGTCATAATCCGAATAAATCGAACGCTGTGTTCGCTGCAAACGCGTCTATCAATCGCCGTTGTTCACACATTTTGCAGTTTCGCACGATTGAGTATATATATGTTATGGATGCTGGGTTGCCAATCTCAGCAAATCAGAGATTTTGGCCCTCCCTACTGCGGGATGCCAATATTCTGGGACATGGAAAATACCTCGGGACCCAAGAACTCCCCAAGACCGGACCCAAGACCTGTGAATAACACTCAGCTCCTTCAATAATCTTTTTCATTCATAAGAACTGACAAATATTGTGGGTCTGTTTAATGTTTCATCCGAATCTTTACAAAATAAAAAACCTAGGTATGCCAATCAGCAAACAAACCCGACAACTTCTCTCCATATTGTGGTCCGCGCCAAACAGAAAGGAACCAAGTCACATCAGCTATTCTGCCGTACTAAGGAAGAACGCCGTATAAACATTTAAGAGTTGCCAAATTTCCTCCAGTAAAACATGCATTTTTGACGACATTCATGCATATTTTTCCTTGAAATTTTCAGATGTTATAGATTAAACTGCGTACAAAATTGTCTGAAAATTTTGAGAAGAAATATTCACAATTTGCCCAGTGAATTAGGTTTTTATCCAGGGCGACTTGGCAACATCTAAAGGCTCATACGGCGTTCTTCCTTAGCACGGCAGTATTGCCACATTTAATGGGACAATTTAATTTTTTACATGAAAACGGTTGAGCGGATTTTTGTGCAAATTTCAGTGAATTTTCTCCATAGTGCAATGCGAATTCCTTAAAATTTTCAAAGAAATTCGCACAAACGTTCTCTCGCTACAAATTGAACTGCCCAGTAAAATTTGGCAATAGCTGATGTAGCTTGGTTCCTTTCTGTTAAACGCGGTTCATAAGCGCCTCCATCATAAGCTAATCCGGTCGCTTTATGTGCGGAAGTCTGATACCACTATTCTAACGCGAAGGAACATTCTTTTGCCTACACCGTTAAATGAAGGCAAATCCGTTTGCTCCAAGAAAAAAAGGTAACCACCACTAAAAAGGTAAGAAAGGAAGTGTGAAACATGCTCCCTGATGAGAGAGCAAGTTTCGCTGGTATGGAACCGTTTTGCTGCGTCGATGTGGATTGAAAAAAAGTTTCGTGGCGACGCGACACCCCCCCCCCCAAGCTTAAAAATGAATGCAATTCTCACATTACATATCAACGGTGCAAGTCGGCAACCACATAACTCGGTTTGCGACGTCAGAAGAGAGCATTGCGAGTTTACGCCTCGCGCCATCGCGCCTTCAATTTTGTAGATGCAACACGGACATCCATCGAGCACGAATAGTCGTATCTCTGCGCCGTCCTTTCCCTCGCTCTATTTCTACACTGTGTTGGTTCCATTTCGACGGTGTGAATCGGCAATCACATGACTCGATACGTCGCAGACTTTCTGTACACTTTATTTTTTAAACGGAAAACTACTCAACGGCAATTCTTTAAAATAGCCGTGATTTTTCTGCTCTGTGCGAAGAAAATGCTGCAAAAACTTCAAGGAGTGATGTCAATTTGTTCTCCTTCGAAAAAATAACATAGAGGCGCGGAGATTTTCAGACACCACAAACGAGTCATGTGATTGCCGACTTACACCGTCGATATGGAACATAGGGAATGGGGAAGACAACTGACTACTGATGCCTGAAGACTACTAATATTACTAACTATGAATGAGCCGACGGTGACGACGGTTGCCCGAAAGCGATTTATGAATTCCTTTACATGAGTTTAACTTTATGAATAAAACTTTCCAAAACGACTAGATCTTTCCAGACGTTCAAAAATGCTTTTGAACGCGAGTCTTAAAATTTTAATTCAATCCTCCAATGACATTGAACACTCTCATCTCGCAGGATTCTTTACCAACAGAAATCCTAAAAGTACCTAGTCTCTCAATTTTTGTTGAATTATTTCGTGTCGAGTGCCTTTTTGCGTACTTAAATGCCTTGAATTGTGACATGAAAAAATTACGCGAGTAATTTAGAAACATTTTATATATGTATTAATTTGTTTCATGCCGGGACTCGCCTAAAACGAATGCATCAAATTTTCATCTTGATAATTTCGGCAGTTCTAGATCCGTCGACCATTTGATTACAATAAGAATTTTGAGCGCAGCGCAGCGTAAGATTTTAAGGCATAGATACATTCTACTGAACAGCGGCAAGAGGGTAAATTTCCTTATCAGCAGTAAAACACTAAACACAAATTGTGTAATGCATTTGGAAGAAATATGCAGCTTCCGTTTTTTGCCAAGTAACTACGAACTGGTGTCCTTAATATCCCGGCAAATTGAGAACCGTGCAAATTAAAACATACCAAAATTATTGCTGAAAATATACTTACTAAAACGAAAAAACCATTAAGTACGTAGCATATTTATTGAAATTTTCAGCAATTTTTTGGCATCTATTAAAGGAAAAGTTTGCGATCCTTCCTAAGATTTTGTAAGCTCCCTTAGTTAAAAAATTATGAAAGAAAATTCGGAGCATCGGAATGGGGTTGCAGTTAGTGACGTCTCTGAACGAAGATCCTGACGAACATGGAAAAAATTAAATCGCTGTTTTAACAAATTAATTGCTGAAAAAAGTGACCACAATATTTCAACGTAGATTTCACAACACAAAAATGCTACTTTTGTAAGCTAATTTAACCACGGGGGTGGTTAAAGTAGCATTTTTGTGCTGTAAAATCTACGTTGAAATATTGCAGTCACTTTTTTTAGCAATTGAATTGTTAAATCAGCATTTAATTCTTTCCGTGAAATCTTGAAAACACGAGTTGGCGGTTTTTCCAAATTTCTACTTCTACTTTATCCTCCCAAAGAAAAACAAACCAATACTATTCTGCCATACTAAGATGAAACGCCGTATGAACATTCGAAAATTTGCTAAGTTTCCGCGGATAAAACATGTATTTTTGACGAAATGTATGTACGTTTTTCCTTAAGATTTTGATAAGATGCTTGCCTCTCAACTTTCACCAAGTGATACACAATTTTTCGCAGTTTTCCCTTGCTAAGCTCGCCGTTCTCCTATCGTTCCTTTAATTATCACACTTTTGTAATTCCGCACTGTATCCAAAATGCTTTTACGTTTCCTCTTTTACCTCGTCAGAAGATTCATGAACGCATTCGTGTCCGCTCCGAGACACGCTAGGACAACATCGAAAAAATACTGGTGTTGGATGTGGGTAGCTTTCGCAGGAGAACACAGGACACTGAGGTGCAGAACCAATCCACTCGGTCGAACACAACCCGAAAACCCCCGATCCTCGGGTATCACATATTCGGAAAAGCAGACCTGTTTCGGAAGCGGCATCCGATCAAAATCCAAAAGAGGAGCCAACTCGAAAACCGGTGCGACTGCTTGTAATCCATGTCGGGATGACGTCACTCGGAGGAGAGCCACTTCGGGGCGAATCGAACGAGAACCGGTTTGGAAACCGGTCGAGAATCGGAAAACCGAACGAGAACCGGTTTGGAAACCGGTCGAGAATCGGGAAACCGAACGAGAACCGGCCGTCGCGTTGGAGGAGAGTCGAAATCTCGGGGGTTCGCGGGATTTTCGGGGGGACACCGACGCGGTGTTTTCGTGCAATCGAAATTTCGGAACAAGGGGTGGACAAATCGATTCGAGGGTTGATTTTCCGGGGGAGGGGAGGATGACGCGAAAAACACCGGGGGCACGACGTCGAGCGGACCAAGCGGCACTTTTCCCGGATTTCTCGGCGGAACTGAGATAATACTTGGTACAAAGACCGCCGGATCGGAAAAGCCGAGCACGCTATCGGGCCGAGCGGTGCCAAAAATCCCCGGGCGTCCTCAAGATCTCGCCCACGGGTCTCCGAGGCGTCAACTAGCGCGGCTCGCTTGAAAAATCACCGCGCGAACCAGGTGGAAGTTCTGCCATTCTTATTTTCGATACTCAAGCCTCTCTCTGAAATGAGTTAAAAATACCAATTTCCAATACGACAAAACCTCTGATCGCCTCCTCCTCCCCCCCGCCCCCCGGTCGCCCTCTCCCTCCTCCTACTCCCCCGGTCCCCGGGGACCCGCGGACCTGTGAACCCGCGGAATCTTGAGGAAACATTAGACGTAACGACGCGGGCCGGCTCTCGTTTTCTCTATTTTTTGTTTTCGAGTTTTCTCCCCCTCGACCGTTTCCACTTTTTCTGTAAATACGGACGCTGTTGGCTCTCAGTCACCTACTTGCGGGGACCGCTTTGCTCTGCGCGATCCGAAGACGGCGCCACGACCGCCGGACCGGACGGACGGACGCGCCGCTAGAAACACCAGCAGAAGGTTTGACTTTCCACTCTTCTTTTTTCAGGGTGTCTACTAGAACAAGCTGGCCGAAAATCAGTACTTTTGCAGTGCTTTTTTAGTACATTCCCAAGAAATTCAGTACCTCCTCAGCAGAAAAAGTCAGTACTTTTATAGTACTTCCATTTAACAAAATTCGGAAAATTTCAAAAATTTTTATTTCTCGCTCAAAGTTGCGACAAAAATGAAAAAAATCCGGACCCTCTTGAGGGAATTCCGCACTTTTTCAGTGCTTCCGGACCGCCCTGAAAAAATCAGTACTTTTTCCAGACTTTCCGGAAATTCCGGACTTGTAGACACCCTGATTTTTCCTATTGGCAGATCTGATTCCATGCTTCCGAGAGTGGTCGCAAAAACTGAGTCGCGGTTCTTGTAAAATGTTCTAGTTTTTTTTTTTTTTCATTTTGGGAAGTCCTGATGAAATCCTGATTTTTGACTGCTAAATCCTGATTTCATAATTTTTCCAAATCCTGATTTTTTGTAGAGAAAAGTTATATAAGCGAATGTAACTACACAAAAATAGCTCGATAAAAAAATCCGATCGGACGGCCGACTTTTCTCAAACCTGATTTTACGACCGATTTTTCCTCAAATCCTGATGAAATCAGAGTTTAATCCTGATTGGCCTCAAATACTGATAGGATCGGGAAAATCCTGATGCGAGACACCCTGCGTACAACTCCGAAAAAAAAAGGAATTCCATGGTATGAAAAAACCGGAATCGATCCGAACATTTTTGAGGAATCGAAAAAGATTGTAAATCAATGGTCAAATTGAAATAATGAGTACGTCCATCACAACATTAACGTATGATAACGTTTTGTCTTTTTGGAAGAAAATCAACTGAAGTATCGCCTTCCAATTTTCTGTGGATATTTTTGAATGAGTGAGGAAAATTCATAAAAATTTCAAAAAAGGTAGTTTTTTTATTTCAGTCATGAACGTTTTAGTCGTAAAATGTGTGATTGCAGCCTCATTACTTTGTTCGGTCTGGTTAATTGTTCCAATTTGTGTACTAATTTCACCGAAAAGGCTTGCGGTTGAATGAGCAATGTCCTTGATTTAAAAAAAAACTGAGTTTTTCACCCAAAATATTTCGATGCTATCGCAGTTACTCCGTTGAACCTCTCTGTGTGTCATGCCCGTCACGCTGTTTATTTTTAAAGCGAGTGATATTCTGAAAAATCTTTGTGCCAACTATATGACCCTTACTACCAATCAATTGCACTTTTACAGACTCTTGATATTGTGCTTCATTGCTGTTGAGTATACCCGCCGTTTGTGTTTAAATTTATCACGATCGTCATACCTCATAGTATATTTTTCGTAGAACTGCCCGTATGCGTTTCACGCCGACCAGCGACCGCACTGTGTTTGGCCAATGCGTGAAGTATTCCTGCACTTTCGTAGGCGCTATGCGTTTGGCGCGGATCGGCGACCGCACCGTGTTTAGCGCGATGCGTGAAGTATACCTGCACTTTCGTAGGCACTAATATGCATTTGACGCGGACCAGCGACCGCGCTGTGTTTGGCGAGATTAGAAAGGATGATACAGCATCAGAAATGAGGGAAACTGTTGATTAGATAAAACGAGGTTAGATACTAGAGCATTTACACCATGAACTGCCCCGAATATGACTATCCCAGTTTTATACCTTTCAAAGACAGAAAAATGACCTGAAATTATGAGCTAACAATAATATCACAGCTTCCTTTGCAAGAGTTTCCTTTGAATGATGAGGTAAGGCAAATGTCAGTTTTAAGTGATGACCATTCTATTTATCGCACATTTTTCGAGAAAAATACTCCATTTCTAACTGTTTGAAAAACCTTGATCCATAGCAAGTCGGAAAAAAGATTCAAGAAGTTTAAATCCTAATTTTTCATTTTCTGCAAAACATCATCGAATGAGTTCTTCAAATCATTCATGGGTACACAACTTATGAATGTGATAGTTACTGAAAAGAGGAGCCAATTTTTGTTTAATGACACTAACAATAATCAAGTATAAAAAATGCAAACGTTGGCTCATCTTTTTTGACAAATAAACAATTTTAAACAATAAAATCACGCATAATTTTCAAAATTGAACTAAAAAACGCTATGAGTGAATTAGGTGCCAAAAGTTACGAAAGCAGAAATACTGTTACATTATTAGAAAACTGAGAAAAAACCAGGTTTTTCAATCAAATACCGAGAAAGATCACTCAACTGATTATTGTATTAATTAAGGATCTCAATCCGTAGAGTTTCGACAGACGTCCCTCAAAAAAGATATCAACAAAAAATGCTTAGGCTCCTTAAATTGTCAGTTACATGAGATTCTGCTTTCAAAATGTATTAATCTCTGATGCCATTTTTGATAGAGAATTCTTTAAAACAAAGGATGGTTCTAGTAGGTACCCTTGGCACTTGAATATTTTGAGACAGGTTGCCAGATAGTTTCTTGGAACAAATTTTGAAATTTCGTACATCCATTATTTCATGTGATATAAAACTTTTTTTAACCTCACTCTCACCGAGACCCAGAAAAGTAATTTTATTTTGTAAAATGTGAAATAAGCGAAGATTTTTTTATTTTTTCTGTTCATTTGGTGAGAAATAGGGAGACTCTAGAGACACTAATCCTTGAGGAACTTTTTCTCCACTGGTTTTTGGGATTAGTAGGAGTTACTTGTGATTTTACAATATTTTATCAAGACAAAGAGATCCTGAGACCCGTATCTAATTGCAGTTTTTTGCTAAGTTAAAGGGCTGAGCAATAATGTTTTGGCTTTGGTGCTTCATTTAGGATAGATTTCTACAAAATTATTGAAGGAAAAAAACTTACACCATTATGGCTACCTCTTGGTAAAAAAATAAAGAAAGAGATATGTATATTGACAGGGACATTTTGGTGGTTACTGTTTCGAATTCAAGACTGTACTGAATTTCCAAGTCTTTTAGATAAGTGTAAAGGACTAAAATTTCGTTCAAGAGGGTTCAAATTACAAATTAGTTTCTGAAATTTCTTACAAGAGAGATTGAAATAAAAGCCCTACAACAGCAAGTCATTAAAAAGAACCTACATCAGTTGATTTTTTCACCTTTAGAAGATAAAATTCTTTCAGCACGGCGTGGATCAAAATGTTACTTTTTTTTTTTTACTCAATTGAAGATTCACTTGAGGCAAAGTTCACCTCTTCCATTGACTATGTCCGGTCAAGTCTAAGTATCATAAAAAAAGTAAAAAACTTTCTTCTCAAATTTGCCGGTAAGAAAACTTGTTTTGTTCGATTTTTGCCACTGAAATTAAATTCAGAATTTCACCATGGATTTTACCAGCTTAAAACCGAGTAAATACATTACAAGGATTTATACCATGTTACATGGGTACTTCTTAGATAACCTAATGACGAGTTTCATAAGTATCACATGAAATTTGGCAAACGTCAATTGAGAATTACCTCAAGATCAACGTTCATTTTTCTATTCAGCCAACAATGAGAGGGCATTATCATTCTTTTGATTGAGGAGATAAATATCCCTTCCACAGGATTCGAAGCTAGAGCAAATCTTAAAAACTAGAGAGGTTCACCATTAAACTTCCCATAGATAACGCTGTCTTATCAAACACAATAAAAAAAATTTCTGGGACCTACCCAATATTTGATGACTTCTAAAACATTTTATGCATGAGTAGAATGTTTTTCTTGTATAATTCTGTACTCATGTTGAAACTCACTCCAGCATTTTATGAGACCATTTTGAGAAATGAGAGAGGGAAAAGCAGATATTGAGGCCAGTTCTTCTACATGTCACAGGGGGTCATAGGGCCCACTTGGCAGGAAAGAATTTCCCGACTTTTCCAGATTTCTCCGATTAAAGTAAAAAAAATTCCCTGACTTTTCGCATGGACAATTTGCTTGCAAGGAACTGAAAGTAAAAATTTTTTGGCATTAATTGCACTGCAAATGAAAGAGACATGTAAATCTTTATTTTTCGGGTATTTATCACTCAATTGACTACAATTGTGACTCCTAATTGAAAATTGTTCTTTTCTTCATTATTCAGGGTGTACCTCGAAGCATTGAATCCTGAAGCAGACTGGGACTTAGTTTAATTGTGTGGACTGGGCTGAAGTTTTTCAAGTTACAATATTTTTAGAGTTTCCTGTTTTTTCCTGAGATTTCATGACTTTTCCCTGATTTCCCTAACCTGATAAAATTCACTGACAATTCACAGTTTTCAGGACCTGCAGATACCCTGTATAATATGAAAAGGAATGAATTCAGCTCGCAACAGTGCAAACTCTGTATCCAAGCCTGAAAGGTCCTGATGCTTCCCTGACCTTTATGATCCTGCATGAAAAAAAAACACCGAAATTTGTTCGAGTATCAATTTCTCGACTCACAGGTGAATAAATGTCATATCTCTTCTGTACCACTTGAAAGCTTCAACGTAATGTTTTCTTACTCAGAGGTGGGGGAAAAGAATTTTTAGTATGTTAGACTAATCACGAGCAAATCAAAACTTCTGGTTCAGTTTATTAGACAGATTAAAAAAAAGCAATATCTGCACAAAAATGCTCGCACACCTTACACGCACACTCACACACTTAAAAAATCCCACACACTTGATATACTTACAGAAAATCGTTTATTTTGTATCAAATCAACAATAAAAAATTCGTATAAAAGTAACGGTCTGTACAAGAGAGGTTATGAGAGAGTGGTTGAGAATTATTTACAGGATTGGTTCATTCAGTTCATGTTGGTGGCAACTCCACTTGCTAAAAATTCAGTCTGAAAATAGAGAATGAAAAGAGGAGGATAAGGTTCCAGTATAAACAGGGGTGAAAAAAAATAAATAAAAACACAGAGTGGAATAAATTGAATCCGGTGATTTGAAAATGACCGTCTCCTTTTTATAAATTTCCTTGTAGTCCTTTCCACTGAACATGGGCCATCATAATTTTAATAATTCCTTTGAAAGTGAACTTGGACATATTTCCAAAGTACTTTTTTGTAGAGATAAAAATCTAGGACTTTTCACAGTTGGCATTGAAGAAAGGTTTTCAGAAAAGGTGTTTCAGAAAAAAGATATGTTGTTTTTGACCTGGAAAACCCAATTCTGATCAAAACAGAGATGGAAAATGAAATTTCATAAAGAGCCTTTTGGCTGAAGATATTAGAGAGTTTCAGGAACTGAAAATGCAACCTGTAAAAAATAACCAGATATGCAACGAAGAACTCTGTACTTCAACTCATGATAATGTTTTTTTTTTTCCAAGTTAAATTTTTCCTATATCTTATTTATGACTTCCCGAGTCTATTGAGAAGTTTCTAAAATCATTGAGAAATTGCACTTAGTTAAATTATCTGAAATCTAGAATGTCTGGATCTGAGATACAGTGAAAAGACGTACAGATTCATGACCTTTTGAGGAAGAAGACATTTCTTGGATCTGAATTTTACTACCCATCCAAAAAAGTTTACTTATGTTTTCCTAATAGTGATGAAACTGGTTCTTGTGCAAGCAAGCAAGCATGTAAAGCTAGCAAATCATAACCTGTACAGCTTCAAAGGGTAACTCATTAACTTTAAAACAAGCCTTTGAGGAGCTTATTAGTCCAAAATTATGCGAATAAGAGATTGTTAAAAAATTGAAATTGATGGATACCCTCACAAAGTTTGAGCCCCATTAGGACAAGAAGAAACGATTTCAAAATCAAAATAAAAGAGGGACTTCAAGAACGAGTTTCTGACCAAAATAATAAAAATTAGAAAATTTTCTATTCTTAACCTAATAATTCAGATGAAATCGCCTTTTCAAGATGCTGCTTGTCACATTTCACATACAGGAATATTCTCTTGACCCATTTTTCAAGAGTAGTCTTTCTGGAATCTTCTCCACTGAGCGTCTTGAAAACGTTTATACATCTACCAACTTCATTCAATTCCCTGTCTTAGAGACTTCCTTTTAACTCTGGAAGAAGTCAAAATTAGCACAATGCCATGTCATGCGGCAATGCAAGTGCTTTAGAAAACTCAAGAGAGAACATTTCCGAATGATAATTTTTTCAAAACGGATGCAGAGAATAAGCCTGTGTGTGAAATGTGATGGACAGTAATTTGAAATGGAATGGACACTTAATGGTCAAATAAAAGACAAATGTACTCCATTCTTTTATTACTTTATTGGTTCGAAACTCAAGCGAGTAAAAATTTAGGAATTTTTATTTTGAAGTTGCTTTTCTTGCTGAAAAAACTGGCCGAAAAGTTGCAAGTTGATCCTGACTCCCTGAAAAATGATTTTGGAAGCGCCATAAGTCTTGTATTTTCGACCAAATAAGCTTTTCAAGGGCTTGCATTAAAGCTAACAAGTAACTCTTTAAGACTGTACAAATTATGTTCGGCTAGTTCTATTCATTGGCTTGCACCAAAACCGGTAGCATTCCTATAGAGACATCCTATCTAGTTTGTACAAAATGTGAAGTAAAATTGGGACCGTCAAAATGATAGTACCATAGCTCATTTAATTATTTACATCAATCACAATGTTTGTATCCGTTTCATATTAAACAAAGTAATTTGCCACATTTGTTTGCACTTAATTTCCCTCCACCGCTGATAAACTGAGGTTCCTTGCTCTATATTTGACAATTGATATTCTTATCCTTAAACGACCATAATCTACCCATATACCGTTCCTGTTCAATTGCTTAGCAAAGAAAAGGCTACAAGAATGTTTTGCCCCAGGTGTCTGATAGGATTTTTGCTGCTAAGCCCAAAAATTATCTGTTTTTTTCGAACACATTTGGAAAATGAGGAATTCAAAAATAGGGTCTTTCAAACTGAAATATGTTTCTTCAAAATTTCCTTCCTCAAAAAGCTAGTAAATGCTGAAAAAAATTAGGTCATCTTTGGCTTTGACAGCAAAAAGCAGGTGGAAATGGACCCATTGGACACCAGAGAGAAAAAGTATCCCGACCTTACGGACGCGAAACGATCGTATGATAGTGGTATATCTGTGTATTGTGGAATTAACTTCTAAAAATTTCCATAATGAAAACAGCAGGGAATATTCTTCAGCATGATGTGGATGTAATCCTATAGAGTTTAGGCTTTGAACCCAGAAAGGACCTTTGTTTTCATCGATCATGTCAATTTTCTGGAAAATTGAATTTTTTTTTGGAAAAGCTTGATTTTTGGGGAGAGTTCCAATTTCACTAAAAAATCTGGCCAAAAGGATTGAGGATAATGATGGTCATTTTCAGAATCAGCGCTCAGCATGAGAACCAATCTAAAACTTTTAGACGAATCAAAAAAAAAAAAAAATTCACTTGCTAAGGAGTGTAGGTAATCAATGTAGGTACTTTGAAACAGCACCACTTGGCTCAATGCAAATATTTAAACAGAGATTTCACAAATATTACGTACCTGGAAAGTTGAAATCATGTGGTCGACCATTGATTCCAGCAGACGGACAGCCTTCTTAACAGTTTCTTTTGGGGTGTAACCTGGCTTGACTTGTACTTGTAACAACATTCTATTTTCTGATGGATGGGGAATTGAATACCCACAAAAAACGACTTCAGGTCTGTAAAAGAAAAAGGGCAGGGTAAAAATCTAACGGCTATTTTCACAACGCCTTAAAAGGACCACATTCTCTGACTGATTAATTTAATTGGCACATTATCTAGTTGATTTTAGGTGGCGGTAATCACCCCTGCCCAATTCTAAGAAATTCCCCCTAAAAAATTGACAACCAAAAAAAAAAAAAAAAAAAAAGGTGTATAACTTATAATCACTAATTATAAACTTACATCACTGTATTCTTTTAAGCCTCAATCAATTAAAATCACAGCTTATTAATGAGCCCTATGTAAGTGGGTCTTTTGCAAACCTCAGCAATAACGAAAAGAGGAATTGCTCCTCATGGGAATTCACTCTAAAATTATGTTGAGTTCATTGAGAAAGTCTGAAATTCACACCTTACCTTCTAGTCAGCAAGAAAAAAAAAGAAAAAAAAGAAAAGAAAAAAAACCTCCTTTAAAAATTATATTATGACTAAGACATAATTTGATACAATCATCAGAGAAACAAACATCAGAAATGTTTTTTCTCATTGATGCAACTCCGATAACAGAAAATAGAGATATTGGTTAGGAGGCATTTGTTACGGTGTTTGTTTGATTGTGAAACTTCGTCACCGAACTAGTGCAATTTTGAGTTTTTGATTTACTTACTGATTGTTAGCCATAAATCGGCATTCCATGATAAACCAAGAAACCCTGAGAATTTAATGAAAAGACTTGGCCTTGTTTTTCTTCACTTATTTCATTGATAAATTCTCAAGGATTCTGGAAAGACTATGTATTAATGACGATCAAATGATGACATTCTCTACCGTTTACCCCCTCGAACAGGCTATCTTGAAAAAAATCCTGGAATTGTCATGTTAATTAGTATTCCTCAAAAACCTCTCGTCTTTCCTGACGAGTATGCCATGAAAGTGTCTGGAAATCAAATCGTCAATTTTTGGTCGATAGAGAGCGTAAAACAAGATGGATATAACTTACAAAGAATTTAGGATGTACTGCAATGGATTTCCAAGTGTGTGTCCCTGGTTCGCAAATTCAAACGTATGTGTCAAGTCGGCTTCAGAACTGTCACGAATTGTCTGCAAAAAAATTTTGTTAATGGTTAGTGTCATCTCAGTGGGACTTAAGATGTTCTTTAAATTTTGTCTCTTTAGGAAATTAATAATTTGATAAATTATTTCGGAATAATTGTGACTAGACTTGCTTATAGTTCCTTGGCTGAAGAAAGTAAGATTAAAATCCGCAAGTTCTGATCCGTTACTTACTCTGTTTTTTAGTTAATAATTTGAACCCTGTTATACAATGGACCACTAGACAAGGTACGAATTTCAGAATTCTGACACATGTTTTGTGACTAAAATTTCACGTAAAACATGATGCTCACAATGAAAATTACCGAAATTAACTCCTTACGAAGATATTTAATTATTCTTGATGCGTGAATTCAAACCACCCGCTCATGAAAACTCAATGCTCTACGTGATTCACATCGCGCGCTAAACGTTATCATGACAGTCTCTGCGATATAAAAATCTGACAACCTCAATCTTGACGCTTTGGCTCAGCTATAGCACATTGCTTATAGTTTGAACAACACATGGTGGGAAATGAACATTGCTCGATAGAGAAGATTGCCAAAACCGTTGTAGTGCGAGATTTGACTCACGTGGAGCTTTGAGTTTCTTGTGAGCGGGCAGTTCAAATTCTTCGTGACCAATGTGAAATAAAAACGTTAATATCTTCGTTAGGAGTTTATTTCAGTAATTTTCGTTGCGCGAGTCGTGTACTCTGTACTATATGAAATTCTGGTTAAGAAACATGTATCAGAATGCTGAAATTCGTACCTTGTCTAGTGGTCCATTGCCTCAAGTTTGATGAAGACTGACAAGTCTCAAGGAAAAAGCTAATGTTCATAATAAATGAGAAATATAAAGTCGTAACAGGATGAAGAGAGTTGCCACCATAATTATCAAGTCCAAGAACCGACGATATTAAGACCACAGATTGGTGATGGCTAAATAGTAAGAAATCATGGGGCCCAACTAGCTTCGTCTTCAATGTTAGCAAGGTATAAGATCAGCCGACCGATATTTTTGACATCATTGACTAGAACTCGCAAGAGCCCAATACTGCAATGCAGTACTGGTTCTCAATAAAAATCGTATAATTGGTAAGTGAACAATTACTTATCACTAAATTATCAGCTTACAAAGGACTTGGAGTTCGTCAAGTAAAAAGTGATGTTAGTGAGCTCATTCATGTAACAACTCTGACAATGAGTGGAGTCCACACCAAATACGTTTGCACACTTCCAGACAGCAACAGCAGATCATCTGGCGCCAGTGTAGTATGGAGAGAAAATGCAAGAATCGGGATGACGGATCTTCTGTCTCAATCTAAAAATGCGTAAACTTATTCGGCATGGACTCTTACTACTTGCAAGTGTGACATTGCTGATCTTCATCCTAACCTTATTTCGCACACATTTTAATAAAAGTGCTGTTTCTTCAGTGTTACAATTGTCTAGATTTAGGCTTATCATACAAGTTACCTACATAAAATTTACTGACTCAAAATTGTGTATCAACACTGTGACATTATGTACCACTTCTCCTGTTATGTCTCGGAAATGGTTCAAAAACTAACGCAAAAGAAATATCAATTCATCCTCTCTTGATATTCACTTCATTCCTTGCACGTCTATTTAGGAGATGCAAGTGAGCATTCCATGCGAATGAGAGCTGGACAAGTTCACATCTGAACCATGGAGATTTGGGTATCTTATTACAGATCTAACAATGAAAGAAGCTTGACCTAACCTAACACACTCGGGCCTTACCCAGCCTAAAACACAAGAAATTCAATCCTAGATTCGAAATACTGCTGACGTTAATTCCTTTAGAAGTCAGTTCTTGCAGACACAATGAGTCCATCTGCCCTGTAAAGCTCCAGGTTTTAGACAGATCTGAAATTTTGCAGGGTATTGCTGAAATCTTTCGATTCATGGGTCTTGGAGCACATGGTAAAGTTTCTCCTCGGAGCAAGCATACGACTGTCTGTTTTAGATACAAACGTAACTGATGCAAGGATGTAAAATAACGCTACATATCACTGAAAATGAGAGGTTTAGAGGCAAATATAGGTAGCGCAAAAACGACTCGAAATGGCATGCGGGACTCCTGAAGTCGGCTAGAAATTACGGGCACAGAGTGAGTGATAGGAAAATACAACTTTACCAATGGATTTGTTGAAGGCTCACTATTCCATGTTTCCCAAATTTTTGGAGTAAGATGACTCAAGTCTCTTTCACTCGTCATTTTGCATTTTGTATTTTCACAACACCGATAAAAACTGAAATCGTGAGTCGTATTTTGTTCGAAACAACAAAATGTTTCCGTTTTTTTCTTGTTTCTTTTTACGCGATTCTGAACAACCAATGAGAGAGCAACTTCCAATTTTAGGTTAGAAATCAGCGTTGCTTTCTTGAACAACATAAAAGCGACCTGCTCTGAGCACGTTGCAGTTGTTGTGCAACAATGTTGCTGTAGGGGTTCCCAAATTTTGCGCACGAAAATAAGCCCCGCCCCCACAACACAAAACAACTTCGCACAAAATGCGATTGTTGCTCGTTTTTACAACATGTTGCGAGTGTTGCCTCCGAACAAAATACGACTCGTGAAACTAAAATAACTAAAAAACTAAAACTACAAATAAAAACATGACGTCATTGCAATCTACAATGTTGCCAGCTGGATGTTAAAAACGAATACGCGAATACAACATTGCCGCTCGAGGCAAAATTATGCAAAATTAAATAGCTGAGTGGGTGGGTGGGCACTGGGCAGAAAGATGTAAAATGAAATTCCTTCTCTCCGAAAATATATATATTTCAGTACATTTTTGGAGGTTTTTTAAATCCCCCCTCCTCCCGCCTATATTTGGTCCCCTCCAGAGAAATACGCCACAGATTTAGCTGAAATGAAAAGACTGGATATTTATGGTATGATTATCCTTTTAACTAATAATTACAAGTCCACAAGCATTTAGCGGTGGCTGTTTGTCTACACGACCAAGGCCAATGAACTATACCTAGAGTGCGCAAGCTCTCAAAAAAANAAAAAAAAAAAAAAAAAAAAAAAAAAAAAAAAAAAAAAAAAAAGTCCACAAGTCCCGGTGTCTAGGGCTGGAATCACTTCTTATGTACATGACCCTCCTATGGGGAGAGGATCCTTAGTCAACTATAAATGGACCGCGTTAAACAGAAAGGAACCAAGCCACATCAGCTATTGCCAAATTTTATCAGGGAAATTTCATTTTTTGCGAAACAACGTCAATGCAGATTCCTTCGAAAAATATGTAGGGAATTTTACTTTGTATTATGGAGAAAATTCACTGAAATTTGCTCAAAAATCCGCACAACCGTTTTCATGTAAAAAATTAAATTGTCCGATTGAATTTGGAAATAGCTGATGTGGCTTGGTTCCTTTCTGTTTGACGCGATCCAAATCAAAATTGAATTGTTGGTACTGAAGCATAGAGAGGTATTCCACAAATATTTTGGGACAATAAATGCCTGAAAATATCAAACCAATCCGTAGATATGGCAATTGGAAATTTGCAGTTCAAAAACGTAGTTTTGAGAGAAAACTGAGATTTAAAATTGGAATTTGCCTTGATACAGAAATACAGAATTGCCAGATTTTGATGCAAATTCACACCTTCTTTGGCTACAACAACCAATTATATTGACCGCAACTTGGTTTTTTAAACAATGGGAGTTTTCTGTCAAAATCTTGAAATCAAATCAAATATTTCACCCCGATGCAGTGAAATCAGCTCTACTGAGAATTTTCAGCTGTGGGCTGTAAACGCTCCTATGTCGTTAAATAACTGCTTTATTTGGACCGCGTTTAACAGAAAGGAACCAAGCCACATCAGCTATTGCCAAATTTAACTGGGCAATTTAATTTTTTACGAGAGAATGTCTATGCAGATTCCTTTGAAAATTTTCAGGAATTTGCTTTGTACTATGGAGAAAATTCACTGAAATTTGCACGAAACTTGGCAAGCCCGTTTTCATGTAAAAAATTAAATTGTATGATTAAATTTGATAATAGATGATGCGGCTTGGTTCCATTCTGTTTAACGCAGTTCATTTTAGAATAAAAGCTCTTTGAAACAATTGTTACAAATAGACGTCGAAGGAAAAATTTAACTTTTAAACAAATACTTTGCTTGGTTTTGACAAAAATTATTGGAAATTTTTCATGAATTTCTTGCAACCTGTGAAAGATACAATTTTAAAGTTTATAAAAGAATTGTAAAGATGTTAAAAAAAAAATACAAATTTGAAACGTTGCAAGGGTTGACACATACATGGTTGGAGATTTTTCTAGCAAACTTATCTAGAGCACAGGAAAAGTAAAAAACTGAGGAACTTTTTTTAAAGTTTACAATGAGACTGTTGCATGGTTTTTTTTTATTCTTACTTTTTAATTATTTATAGAAAGAAGATAAAAGTGAGAATATCTCCATTTTTTGTTTTTCATCTAATTAAAGTTTAGAGCCGCCTTCCCCCCCTTCCCCCCATTAAAGTCCCCATTTAATCCCAATTAAAGTCCAATTGAAGTCCACAAAAATCCAACCCCAAACGGCAAAGTATTGCGCAAACAGATTTCGTGATATCACACTTTTTTAAATTAAATTATCAAAATGTTTTTCAGATTTTCTCTCGACTATCAGAGGTATTGTAAATATTAGAAGGAATAATTTTATGACACCCTGAGATCAACTTGTGAAAAAAATAAGAAAGGACAAAAAATTCTGTTTGCCATACCTTCAGAGAGTATTAGAGTTTTATTTCAATTTTTACAGATCAACAGAATGAATATCTGTTTTAAAGTATCTACAGATTCTCAGTATGAACTAAGACAATTTTTTACAGAAGTCATGCAAGCATTGCCTTGCAGAATAAATAATATCCAGTTTTGAACTTGAGATCAGCTTTGATTGTCAGGAGGAGTGAAAGATAGATACATAGGAGTGACATCGGCTAATTTGGCTCGAAATCGTTCAAAGCTTTCATTTCCTTCATCACCTTCAACAATCTGAAAAATAACAATTTGATGGATTTCAATTAAAATTTTGATTGTTAAATGCAGTAGAAACGCTGCTATCTAAAGCAAGAATGCCATGACATCATTCAAGATTTTTCTTCTACAAGTGACGTCCAGGGCTATTGTGTAGAGGGTGCCAACCCTCAATTCCCGATTTTCGACTTTAATTATTGTAATAGCTTACCACCTTCTACTCATCATACATTCTCTTCTTGCCTTGAGAAGGGAAAAGTAAAGAAAAGTGTCTTGAGGGAGAAACAAAGGGTAAAATTATATGAAAGGAGTAGTTTTAGGAAGGTCCATCTTAAGTGATTCAGTGGTGTCATCTATTCGAAGGTGGATGGTTGAAATGTTAATTTCATCGCATTGCACAGGCTTCTCAGTTACAATGTTCCAGTGCATGAAGTAGATTTTGAGGAAGCGGCTGTCTAGTGCGTACAGAACCGCTCAGAGAGCGTGTTTGCATGAGAGGTCATAAATTGAATTTATCTTTTGAAGAGCACATTTGGTGGCAAATGACATTCAAAATATGTCATGAGTATTGTTTGCAGACACCTAACCTAACCTAACCAAACGCATCACTTTTTGGTCACCTATTTATATCAATAGAAACTTCAAGATATATCGTTAAATACCTGCATTTCCCCTTCATCTTCTTGACCTCTTTTTTGAGCTATTGTTTTCAGCAATGCTTTGCCCTCTTCTTTGGTCTGAAACATGGAAAAAGATTTATTATACTGAGATCATCATAATGTACATTGTCAAAGTAATAGAGTCATAAAATAGACTCAACTGTGAAAAAAGGAACCAAGAACATCGCAATATTGCGAAGATCATGCAGCATACTTTTTCACGATGAAATAAATTAAAGTTGACCAAAAGTGACATTTATACCGTGATTTTCTAATATAAGTAATTTATTTTTTAAAGGTTCATTTGATTATTTAACTATTCTTGATTTTGAGTAGAAACTGCTCAAGAGAAGGGTATTAGTAAAGGCAGTTTTTGGGTCCATCCTGAACTTTCTCAACTCTATGACTTTTTGCTCATTGAAGGTCTATATTTTACAGAATGCAGCATAACTTGGTCATTTTCTGTCTCTTTTCAGGTCTACTATTGGCTTGAACATGGGTTTGAGGGCCAACTTGGGCGAAAAATGCGGATTTTTCAGCAGTCAACTGGAAACCAGCAAAATCTGCATTTATGCCTGTTATCCCAGGCTAGTAAAACCCCAAAAAGGGACTGAAAATGACCAAATCATGATGTATTCTGTGAGATATAAACCCTTAATGAGCAAAAAATTGCAGAGTTGAGGAAATTTAGGGTAGGCCCAAAAATGGTCCATATCAATACCCCTTTTTTTAGGTTGTCTTGCAGTGTGTTTTTGGTGGTTTTGTGTAATGCAGTCAAAATAGTACAGAACTCCTTCGGAAAATCTACCTTGACTTTCCTGCAAACTTTCATGACGGCCAAAAAAGAGGCTACAGTTCAAAGTATCAATTTTAAAATGTATATGCCAAACTCTGTATTATTACCACAGAGTCAAAAGGTGCCTGACTCCATTTTAGTTGTTTCGAGATATCAGGGAAAACTGTGCGTTGGTTCCATTGATTCCATTGTACAGAACAATTTTTGAAACTTTATATCTCATAACCGACATGAGACTGGACTACCAAATTTACTACATATCAGAGCCGTTATTGAACATTTCAGCAATGCCACTAACTCGATTTTTCCGATAGTGTGGGTTAGGCACTTTTTGGATCTTGGGTGCTGATAATGATATGTAATAGCGTAGTATAAAAATTAATTCGAAAATCTCTAGCTCAACTGATTCCATTATCAAACGAATTTTCATTTCGCTCAAATGATTAAATAATGGAGCTCCCTTATTTTACAAATAATGTGATTTCTCTCGATAAAGTTCCCCAAAGTGGATGGACAGAGGGAAAAATTAGACAAGCATTTTATACTAGAGCCCGTAAAAACTTACCTCTTCATGGTTGAGGCATTTCTGAGCGAAAATATAAGCATTATCCAGCTGACTATTCTTCATGTAGTAGTTGGCAAGGTATTTATAGGCATAACTTAGACCTGCACTGAAACACTCATCGTTCGCTGAGCTTTCATTTTCAGTCACATACACCTTTAACACTTTGACAGCCTGCTCAACATCACCCAACTTCTCATATAACCTGTTAAAAAACCGAAATCAGAACAATGGTCAAAGCTAATTACATAATAATAATTACTGGTAAATGAATAAGTAATCTTACGGTGCATAAAAGAAGAAGACCAGGGTTGGTTTCTTGCAAAGTGCCTTTGGAAAAATAAATGCATCACAACTGGAATATCAATTTTGAAACTATGAAACAAGAATAAAAATCTTTGTTTGTGATAAAGACATAAAGGTGGAGCATGAGTGTGGTTGAAATTAAAGCCACGCTTAAAATTGGTTGCAGGTATCATGATATCAAGGCAAAAACAAGACCACTTTGTTTAAAAAGAGGCGGGGATGATTATTTCAAACCAAATGAGCGTTTCATGTGCATTGCTTCCCGCACTTACGCAAGTGGAGAGTATCAGATTGGTTTCACATCTTCCTCCTGATTTTAAACTAATACCTTCACCACCCCAGTGGATTATCTCCATCAACATATTATCTAAAAATGGATAGCTCTATTCATATTCAGGTGTAGTGGCCTCATGTTCCAACAAAATATTGTTGCTAGTCTACAGATTTCAACTATTAGAACATGATTTTATGACTAGTGCAGCTGAGTCAGACCTGGATAACAGAAGAAGGTTAGAAAATGGAAAAAGGTATGTTCGGTGAGCCACGCTCACATGAAAAACTTGCTATTTGAATGTCTTTTCAAGTAAGTAAGTTCAAAAGAGCTGTATTTATAAGAACAATTCCACACTTACTTGCCAAGTTGAAGAATTGCAATGCCCTCTGCATCACCGAGAGATCTAGCTCTGGCAAAACACTTGATCGCCTCTTTAACTTTATCTAATTTGTCATAAGCTTCTCCTAAGGCTATTAGCATTCTTGAATCATTGGGCCTTAACTGCTGCGCTTGCTTATAGTAATAGAGGCTAAAGAAATACATTCGAATAATTTCGTATGTTTGACCTAATCCATACCACGCACGGTAATCTCTACGGTTCACTTCTGTAACATTAAAAGATAAAATGGTGACTAAGCAATGTATCAAATGACAATCGATGAACATTCACAACAAAAAAGGCAAAAGTTGTCAATAACCTACGAATAATTTGGCACATCAATACTAAAAGGAACTTTGTGCAAATAATTGAAATGAAAAGAGATTGAGGAATTCACTAATACTATGTACATAGTTCAAATTCTTTTTTATTAACATCATTTGTACATGGTTCCTTCCAGCAAAAATTTGTCCAGTTGGTATCTGGCAAATACCTCAAAGCTTGAAGTACTCCCTTTGCGTAATGGTGACTTTCCAATTGTGAAAATTTCCGTCTGATAGCTGTGAAAAACATACACCTGACTCTTTTGTTCAATATCAAATTGCCAAAAAATCATGATAAAAAGAATGTTCATCAGAGAACATGCTCCAATTTGACAACGAGTCTTCCGGACTCATCTGTATTTTGTTATTTTTTATTTCAACTTTTTCACATTATGTGCGCGCATTTGAAATGAAGGGATAATTTTTCACAAACGTCCTTGTTTTATGTTCAATAATCCAGCAACATCTCAAACTAAATTTCACTACTTTATTTTCGAGTTTTGGTGCTTTGAATTTCAGGAGAGAGGAAACCGATGATGATTGTGATGATATCACAATGAAATACTAACTTTCAGTTTTGTTAGGTAGCATAAAAATTAGAAGCCGTGACCACAGACTATGAGAGGGAAATGCCAAAGCATGAAAAACTGTCTGTGTGGTAAAACTCAACATAATTTTACATCTCTTGCTTCAGAAATACTATAAAAAAGGAATACATCTCCCTCCCTACAGACATTCGTTTTAGATGAAAGGAAGAGAAATTTGTGGTTAGGCATTTTGAAAAAATGTTTTACCATATTTTACCCAACATCTTTAAGATCTAAAGATCATCCAGAGATCAGTCAAACTCTAAAATGATTCCTACGTTCTGAAAACTATGGAATCCTTACATTCGGCTACAGGTAACTGGACCGCGTTTAACAGAAAGGAACCAAGCCACATCGGCTATTGCCAAATTTTACAGGGAAATTTCATTTTTTACGAGAGAAAGTTTGTGCGGATTCCTTTGAAAGTTTTCAGGAATTTGCTTCGTACCGTGGAGAAAATTCACTGAAATTTGCACAAAAATCCGCACAACAGTTTTCATGTAAAAAAAAAATTAAATAGCCTAATTTAATTTGGCAATAGCCGATGTGGCTTGGTTCCTATCTGTTTAACGCGGTCCAACTATGCTCGGTGAAAAGAGCAAAGTAAGAATGTTAAAATTAAAAGCTAGGAAAAACAGATCAGAAAGAAACTAATTTTTGCCAATCAATATAATCTTAAGTTTGTTAAAAATTGAGGCACAAACACCATTATGGGAAAACAGAGCTGATTTTCATGTTGCATTAATTAAAGACATTACTCTACCTATGGCTTGGCGGTAACTCTGAATGGCAGCATTCGTATTTTTCATTTCCATAAATTCATGACCCATCAATGTCCATGCAGAAAGATATTGGGGATTCAGCTTTAATGCCCTCTGAAAATATAATACTGACTTATGATGGTCAGATCGTAAACTATAATAGTTGCCTGAAAGAAAAGAAAAATACAAAGAGCATTAGACAATGTATTAATGAAAAGCTAGCAAAGGCAGGACAAATTCTAAAAAAAGAAGCTGTGCGGTCAACTTGCGGCAGTTTTTTAGGGGTCAATCGACGTCAACTTAATGCAAGATTGCCATAATTTCTTCATCTTCAAATTTTCCGACTTTCCCAGACTATTTTTGCTTTTCCCTGACTCCAAAATTTTCGGATTCCCTGACTTTCCCTAGCATTTGAATAAAATTTCCACCTTGATTTTTTCCTTAGCATTATGCTCACTTCTGCTAGATGCTTATTCATTAAATTCCCAGACTTTTTGGGTGAGTTCTCTGACTTTTCCCAGTCGCCGCAATTTCCCTGACTTTCCCAGTTTACCAGACCGCCGGCAACTATGACAATGGATACTCGGATACCCCTTGCTATGCTGGCAGTCCACCTCTACATCTAGTCAAACTAAACATACATGGAAAGGGAGCATATACATTAGCAGAGTTGCTGTGGTTCCAGCCTTGGAGTCCCCAAACAAAGTGACAACCCTGCTAATGTATTTGCTCCTTGTCTGTGCATAAAGAGTTTGACTGGAAAAAGAGGTAGATTCTCAGCGATGCAAGGGAGATCCTCTCTGTTACGGCTTCAACTTTGAGAGCTTTTTTGCGCCTAAGAGTTTGTTTCAGAGGAAACCAGTGATGTTTCTTCCAAATTTTGCATTAGAAAAAGTACTTAAGCTGCAAATTCCTGTCGCATGCAAGAACTCTCCTGGTGAGGATCACCAGCAATAAAAAATGCAAAAAGTCCTGCTTTATGTCTTCCTAAAATGTTTTAAAAAAATCAATTTCAAAAATAGGTGCTAACTGGGCCTCAATCTCTTCTGAGGCCTATAAAAGAGCCATATGCAAAATTTTAGCCCTTGCATCGAATTTTCAGAGGTTGCGAATCGGCCCTTTGTAATACTAAAATAAAGCACAAAAAAATTTCAATTACCAATTATACAACATGTTTCAATCCGATATTTGTCAACTTCTGCTGCATGGTGGGCTAAATACGACAGTTCAGTGCGCAATTGTTTGACATACAATAAATTAGAGAAGGTGTCCAAATTATCCAACCGGTACGGATCCTGTTTGTTCAATTTACTAAATGTTTCGATGGCTGTCACAACATCTAAAAAATGATCATGGTATGGTCATAAAAAATTTTGCAAATATAACAGTACATGATAAATGTAAATATCAACATAATACTAATTATTTGTGATAGAATCTTAATCATAAAAACAAAGATCAGTCTTGATTATATGAAAGAGAAATGTAAGTATAGAAGTATACATTCATCGAAAGCCCTTTGAGGAAAATCAAGGTTTGGGATAAGAGTTAGAAAAAATTTCTTTTAAAATGAGTGAATTATTTTTAAGAACATTAACTTATTATTCCTGGAGTAATTCACGAACTAAAATTGATTGGAATTAAGTTATCATTTATTACAACCTCATCATGTTCCATGCTAGAGGAAGAAACAAAAACTGGAACAGTTGGCATATCTTGATAAAGGACTTTATAAAGTTATCTTACCTCTTTTGTTGTGATAACCGACAGCAATTTGGGAAATTATGTAAGGATTATTAGGGAAATAAACTGCTTCTAATTCAGCATAAATTTCTAATGCTCTATCAGTTAATTGCTGCTCGAGTAACGCATGGGCAGTGAAGAGCTGAGTCATCCAGTGGTCAGGAAGAGAAAGCGATTTCAACTGGAATCAAGAATAGAAAGACTAAATTAAGGGACATCTAAGAACAGGAGCCTATAAAATCATATTTTTATTCATTGCGGTGTTCATTTTTAGAAAAACTTCTTGAAGATAAATAATTTCTGTGTTTCGGTGAAACTTTTCCTTTCTTTACTTATTATAACTGAGAAGAGCCCTCTACTTTAACTATTCAATAGCTACAGTTGAGTAACGGTCGGTTGCATTACCAAATTTCTATAAAACTTGGTTTTACATCACATCAGAGGATAAAATATTAGATATACCACAAATTAGTGTTCGATTATTTTTGAGAAACTTTCCTTGAAGCGGAAAGTTAAATAAAGAGAAAGAAAAAGATACATTGGATTTCTTGATTTTCAGCTGAGTTTATTTGACATCATTTTTGTCAATTTTTTTATTGGCATCATGATCATTCTCACAAAATTTCTCATAGGATCACCCAATAGATTGCAAATCCTTACTCCTTGCAACAGGCCCATTCAAGAAGGAAATTTCATTACAAAATTTTTTGTTCCGTTTTGATGGCACACACCAAAAAAATTCCATTCTCTGATGCTAAAAGGGCTGAAGTAAATTTTCAATTCTGGGAGGATCAGAACTTCAATCCGGATTGTGCAAGTTTGCAAACATCTTAAGTCAGTCGTGTTCCACTGTTAGGCTTCCTAATCGAAAAAATCATTATTAGAATTACAAGAATCAAAACTATCAAAGGCAAATAGGAAGGTTACACGAATTTAGGTCCAATCTGTTTGGTCCGATTCTCTGGGTTCAAGTTTGTTCATCTATGGCTTTTATTTCTTGAAAATGTACCCGACACACTTTAACATTCCTCCTACATTAAAACTGGTCCATGTACAATTTACACCCATGACTAAGTGGTCAAATGTACTTGGTCGGACTTGTCAATTTGGAGATTTCAGAAAAATAGGAGGAAAACTTTATAAAAAGTCACATATATCCCAAAATCTGATTTTTTGCCACATACAACAGTATTGCCAACCCTTGCCTAACTGGATAAGTACTTCTTGTCCACCAGTGGTCTGAACCGCTAATGTTGTCTGCAGACTTGCTTGACAGTACACTTGGTGTCTCATTCACTTACCTACATTGGACGGATTTTTTAAAAACTAAAAGCCATGAATGAACAAAGTTGGACAAAAGATATTTAAATGAGAAAATTACAAAAGGCCTGTCAACCAATAAAATTGATGGCATGTTCCGCCATATCTCATGCACAAAAAAAGAAGCAATGAAGTACTAAATGGAATGCTTCGAATATAAAGTTTGGGTGTGCTTACCTTTGTACTGTCCGTAATTAAAGGTTCTAATTCCATCCAACCTCCCCAATGCATCGGCTCTTTATGAACAGCTTCCACCAGGACAGTTAAAGCATCTTTACCTAAATCTAATTTTTTTAAAACTACGCCGTACAGGTATAAACCATATCCATCTAAACTATTTGCACAGTATTCACTTTTTAGCTTTGTGTATAGGGTGAAGAGATGTTGCTGAAGTTTTGGATCAGGACTTTGACTGGATTCAGACATATTATCTAATTTCTTCTTTTCGTATGACAGATATTTTGAAAAATAGTGTAAAAATTTAGAGTATGGAAGATTTGATTTTTTTGTGAAATACGCACACCTGCAAAAAAACAAAACAATATGGAATTACAAGTAAGAAACAGAAAAAGAAGAAAATTTCTGAAGACAAGAGAGACTATGATCATTATGTGGATAAAATTTTACAAACACACCAACTCGGAAAAAAAAAATTGTTCAGGAAACACCTAAAACTGCGCAGCAGGCGAAGAAGTGAGTTTAAGAAAAACCTTTTTGGTGCCAAAGGACAAGTACTGAGAGACTTTGTAAAGCACCAAGTTGCAATCGATACACCATGTTTGATGACAGAGAATCAAGCGTTTAAAAATTTCCGAGTTGGTGTGCTTTCGTTCTCACCGACTTTCAGATACTGATTTTTCATAGTCTGCCCTGAAAAATTTATATTTTTTGACCTGAATAACGCTTGAATGTTTAAATAATTTGTTGGTACAAGGTGCACTGAACCAAAAAAAGAAAACCGCAAAAACGAATGGTCATCCGTTTCCCTTGAAATGGCCAAAAATTGGTGTTTCCAATGAAATACTTCGATTCTTCCCTTTTCCCGTCGCTGTTTCGAGCACTTCCGATTGCAATTTCGAAATTTCCTTTTGCGTGCAGATGCTTCTATTCATAAGTGTTACTAAACCGTAACAAAGTGAAAATCGAAAAAAACCCGAGTTGGTGTGTTTTTGAACTCACTGATTCAATTACATATTGGATCAAAAATTTAAATGCTGCCGAAAAACTCTATTGCACAGAAATTAATTTCGTTACTTAGAAACATACCTGTCATACTCTTTCAAATCAAAATAACATTTGGCTAGGTAATAAGTATCACATTCACTAGTGCCGAATTGAGGTAGACCAGCTGTAGCTTGATTCGAACAGTCAACTGGAATATCACCGAGGGAAGAGCTGAGCTCTCCCAACCTGAAATTTAGAAAAATCTAGGTATAAAAATTATGATAAATTGTTAGCTCCAGAACAAAGAGGGATGTTTAGCAAGAATTTAGGGACAAAAAACATGAATCTTGAACGAAAATAAAACAGTTTAAAGTTGGCAGTTCAAAGAATAAAGTTTTTAAAAAACTATGTATGATTTCAATGAGCCATGTTCAGGGTCTGAAATGATCGAACATAAATGCGGCTGTAATTGGATTGCTTTTTATAAGACAAGCGTAAGTCAAAAACTCATGAGCCCTGGCTTTCACTCATCATGCAGGACGCTGGGGCTTATAAGTTTTTGGACGTACGCCCATCTAACAAAAACCAATTCAGATGCTCTCCTGGCACGAGAATGAACTGAATCGCCCGCAATTTATTTTCTGGGATGATGGAGAATTGTATGTCTAAATTTTAAAATCCAATTTTCCACCCCGACTTGACAAGTACCTACTCTGCAGAGAATTTTATCTTCCAGGATAAAGGTCCTTTTTCCTGTGAAGAACTTTAGATCAATTGAAAAAAGTTCCTCGCGGCTGCAATGACCCTCTAAAACATGCCGAAGTCAGCTACAGTTTTTCTCCTAGCATTCCCTTTATCATCAGGTGAAAACAGCAGAGAGCTTCTGCTTGCACCGAGTACTACGGATTGTTTTCCAAGTGTTCCAGCATTGCATCTCTAATATTTTTCTAATTGATTTCTCCTATTGTGAAAGCTGATGGGGCTCAAAAGTGCTATATTGACTTTCAAAGTACACCAGGGGATAAGTCATCTTCTCAACAAATTGAGATTGAATGCTCCAATCAAAGTGGTGAATCTGCAGCTACAGTTAAGGTAGATAGCAAACATTGCAGTCACAAAGACATTTTTTGTAAAGCGCTCTGAAATTCTACACCCATCAGGTCCTAATAAAATCTGACCCTGTCTGAATTCCGCTGATAGGCTTCGGAGCGCCACTAAGGGTCAAGACACCAAAAATAACAATCGTCATTCTACCAAGCTCCTGATGGAATGTTGCTAATATAGTGTAAAAATGGATAGTTTTCGTTGTCCATGCAGCTAAGGAACATTCAGTTGGATAAAGAATGCCCAATATCTACAGGACTTGTCGTTAAAAGATTGTTCACAGTCAACTTAAACGGCACTGAATGGCACAAAAGCTTCATCCTTAAGCACAAAGATCAATTGAGGGTATCAATGATGTTCCTGAGAAATAATAATCAGGACGATACTGAGATGACTGAAATAATTGTTGGAAAAACTAAACTTAGCAGTAAAAAAACAGTTTTCATTACCATTTCATGCTTTGTAGCAAGCCGCGTTTGGAACATTCAAACATGGCTTTAATGAGGCTCTCCTTGATTTCTTTTTTATCGTATTTCATGAATACTTCACCCATGTTGGAATTTTCAAATTTTAACATGATACATAAAGAAAACACAATATATTATACTAAATTTGCAAAAACTTTCTTAGCAGATTAGTTCACAGCACACATAACCACAAAATTTGAATTGCACGTTTGTGTTTTGACCGGGAACCTTGAAAGATGTTGCCGCTTTCACTGTCGTGATTTAGTACCTCTGTTATTTATTCCTGATTTTACCTCCTATTAATTATAAATATTTTTTTATATCATTTGCTAAATGTATAAACAAATCAAATAGATGTATATATGAGAAGATAAATTAATAGGATCATGAGAATTTGCAGTTCTTTATCTGACAACAATGTAAAGCTGATGTTTATTGTTGACAGGATATCCCCTCTCCTCCCTACCACACCATTATTGTTATGAACTTTAGAGTGATTTGTCCTCATTTACCAAGAACTTTAGAAAACTTTGAAAATAAATTGATTTTGTGAAGATTGACTCATCATGTGAATTATCTGGATTTTTTCTGCTTCACAGTGTCCTCTTCAAATCACGTTTTGAACTCTTGGGATCTGTTGGAGAGTCAAAGCTCTGATTGAGACCTCTGCTCATGAGTCGAACCCTACATAATTTCAGACGTAGTTTCAATTTTCGTTCGTCATATTTTAAGGTAATCTAACTTCTTAGCACCAAGCATATAAGTACATAATTATAAATTATTTTACTTATTAGCTGTCTCTTATCTAGCCCCTGCTAAATCAGTTTCCTCCCTACTGACATGCAACTGGTTTGTTCGTTAGGTTCCTGTCATACTCTGCTCACTCAGTTTCCATGGCCAGTTGATCAATTATGAGTGATCCTATGATTGTGGTCTCATATTTAGATTCCAAATTGGGCATCCTAACATCAAAGGTAATCCTGTTGTCACCGAATGTCAAGGATACAGAACCTTTTTTGTTCTGATGGAACTGAGGAGGCTCAGTTGTGACTAAGGAGCTGAGCACATTTTCTCTCTTTTCCCTTCCAAAGAATTAAGGAATACAACTTTTTTTCACTTAATTTTTCCTTTTGGGGGGAAGGTAGAGGGTTACGTATGGTTGTCGTTGCTGTAACAAAGAGATCTTCATACTCAAAAATGAATTGGTGAGAACGAAAACACACCAACTCGGTAACTCGAAAATGCTCAATTTCCCTTAAAGACAGTTAATTTACCTAAAGGTCATTGAAGTCAGCGTATCTGTTCCAACTTGGATCTTTAAAGTGTCCATAAGTACTTGTCTTTGGGCAGCAAAAATCTTTTTCTTAAATTAACTTCTTTGCCTAGGTACTTACTGTGCATTTTTGTGAGTGTCTTGATTATTTTTATTTTTCCGAGTTGGTGTGTTTTCGTTCTCACTGATTCAAATATGATCAGCGCGAGGAAACAAGAGGAAAAGTGAGGAGGCTCTCATTTGGGCTGTTGAGTTTTCTGAAATTTTTTTTATACCTGTCAAGTGGTTGGTTGTTACAACCTGTAATCCTCTATTCTATGCAATCAAGTAAGAAAAAATTATCTCTTCCTATTGATCATTGCAGTGAAGAAAATAACGAAATCCATTTCCTATTTGATGGTATCCGGTAAGATGAAACTGCCACGTCTCAGTCCTAAAACAGATACAATCACTCTTCTTTAATATTGGAAGTCTTGAGTGCTGCTCTCAGCCGTAAAAATGTTTTTTGTTTTTTTCAGTTTCAGGATGGCAAAATTTTGTATACTCAACTCTCCCATATCTGGAGGAAATAGTCATTATAAGCTCTCGACTCTGTTATCATCAATAGCCAGTGTCCTTTTCCTCATCACCTCAGCCTTATTTGTTTTAACAGCCTTCAGGAACACTTTGACATGGTATGTAGTTGGACGTAGCATGTTACATACACTTACATGCTCACTTCATTTAAGATATAGGTACATCCAGCCTTTCTTAATTGCAAGGTGATGCAGCATATCATTTTTAGCTTGAGAATGGAGGGTTTGACACTTTGTAAACCCCTCACAGACATGAAATATGTACCTATTTTACCTGTTCACAAAAATGAAGAAATCAAAGAATTAAGAGAAAAAAGTCCTGATGGAGAAATCTTGACTCCATAAATCATGAATCACTATTCCATGCAAGTTATCACATTTTATCTGCAAGATTGAATGGTCCCCTGAAACATAAACTGGAATTAAGAATCAAGAAAATTAGTAGAGTGCCATGCAATAACTCAATCTAGGAATAAAGGAATCTAAGAAAAGGGTTATAGGTACTAAACTCAATTCATTAGCTACTATTCATAAATCTATGGCTAAATGCAAGACATGCATATCTCAATTGCAACGTTTTAAAATCTCTGATTATGTTTTGTTTCCCCCAAAGAAATCCAATCAAATTGCCTCCTTGCAATTTTGTATGACTTTTTAAAGTAAGGGAAGAAAATTCACAAAACATACCAATAAAAACTGTTGGTTAGTTTTCCTTGAAAAAATAGAACTTGAAAGGAGCAATTTTGGAATCTAAGGAATAAATTTTTCGACTGCAGCCATTGAACTACTAAATGAGAGAGAGGCTGTAAAATTTTCAGAAATTGGCTGAAAAATCCGAGTAGATACGCGGACAGTTCCTTCTGTAAGAAAAAACTGCTGAATGAGGTCTTGAAGCTATTTGCTGGCCATGGTGAGATTATCTAGAAAAATGCCCCTTCAGAAGAATCTGAGGTTTCTGAAGTAAGTAACAATGGATGAAATGGAACTGTTAATTGAAAAAAAAACATAGAAAAGCTCCCAATCCAAAGGCATTAAAATACAGCTGATCCCACTGTATATGGTTTGCAAGGAGTTGATCAATTAAAAAAGTGCGTCACTATTCCAGCAAGGGCTTAAAAATTGAATTATCTGGTTAAATTTTTATACAAATCTTTAGGTTTTTACTTTTTCTTGTTTTTGCTTCACGTTTTTCCTCCATCTTCCAGGCATTTCCAAAAATTCTGGGGTGCATCAGGAAATTTTTGGCAGTCAGGCTGGGATAAGATTCTTGATCACTTCGGAGAAGATCCATTTACGTACTGGTACTATGGTGAGTTTCATTCAAGTACTCATTAAACTTAATTTATTGATATAAATGATCTTTAATGCCTAATGACACATAAAAAGAGTAGTTAGGTTGAACCGCCAGACCACAGAGGCGTATTCTATGAGTATAAGTGAGGTGTTTTCTTCATTCATTTTTCTAAAAGTGTCATTCCTCAGAGGTACAGTCCTTCGCATTTCTAAAAAAAAAAAGTGGTGAGTTTTCTTCTGCTCCACCCTGAATTTTTCTCCAAGGGAACTGCCTTAAGAATAACTCATTTAAAACTTAGGTGCAAGTATTTCAAAGTCTGTAGGTAGTGTGAATGATGAGAATTTAATGAGATACCCCTTGTGATTCAAATCAAAAGACATTTTTCCTATAACTTTTGACATTTAAAATTCTAATTTACTAATTCTACTCAATATTCAAAAAAATATATTCTGTTTGAATAGGATCGTTGTTCGTGACTGTTGGAGTTTATTGGTTCATCGGTGGAATCTATACATTGTTAGATGTTTTCAATAGGCCAAATTCTCTTCGTTGCTACAAAGTACAGCCCGGTACAAATGAGCCTGTTGACCTAAAACGTATTCTCATGGTAAATCAATTTATCTCTAGTTGTTAAATAAAAATTAGATTGAATTTTTAGACCGCAAAAAGTGTTTCGTTAATTCACTCCAAATTAATATTCATCCTCAAGATCATCTTGACACATACTCAGCAAACCACAAAAACTGCTACCCTGAAAATACCCAAAATGTCCAACTGATTTTGGACGGCGTGAAATTCACAGCTCAAAAAACGATGTTTTGACAAAATTTATGTGAAGTTCCTGATGGATAGTTCAGTATTTTCTTATTGAAATGTAACTTCACATTTCGATGATTATTGGCATGAAAAAGGCAAAAACCTTTATGCTAGACATCAGAGACTATTTTCTTTTGAAAAATCTAAGCATGAATTCTCCTGACAAATTTGTCCCTAAGAATTAAGGTACCTTTTCTGATTGATGGTCACATATATTGTACAAACTTTTATTGTATTTTTGCAGGTTATTCTAAATGTGCTCACAAATCAATTTATCGTTGGAATGATTGTGGGGCTCTTGTGGTATCGACTAATGCTATGGAGAGGCTTTCCAGAGATTAAAACTCTTCCCTCCTTCCATTGGGTTCTTGCTGAGCTTTCTGTGCACATTTTGGTGGAAGAAATCAGTTTTTATTACTCTCACAGGTAATTCTCTAGCTAGCTATGAACTGCTGCAGCTTTTCAAAACATACCCCGTCAAACGTATCTGAAATGGTTCGATCCTGGTAACAGTGCAGAATTTTTATCGGAAACGAAGCATTGTCACGGTGATCTAATTACTTGTTAGCACTAAAGTAGCATCGCAACTACCACTAGAGAAGAAGCTAAGACCTAGAATCCACTATGAACATCGTCAGAGCTATGATTCTTTTTTCTGCCTGAAGCTGCTGAATGAAGGAGGTGACATTTTTTCTATTTTGAGATAAAAAGAGCTTTGAAGCTTACGAACTACATGATAAGGAACTCTCAACGGAAACCTTTCAGATTTTATTGTTTTCTGATAAATTTTGTTCCTTCAAAACAGGGTGAATTCTCAGGACTAATATATTTTTTTTGCTGTCTTATTATATTGCTCCAGATTGCTCCACCATCGCCTGCTGTATAAACTAATTCATAAAAAACATCATGAATGGACCGCGCCAATAGCTATCACTGCCTTGTACTGTCACCCTGTGGAGCATGTTCTCTCCAACCTCCTACCCCCATTCCTAGGTGTCTTCATCACTGGCTCTCATGTCGCAACAGCTTATTTGTGGTTTACGATCGCTGTCATCTCTACTTTAAATGCGCATAGTGGTTATCACTGGCCCTTTTTCCCCTCACCAGAAGCACACGATTTCCATCATGCAAAGTAAGTATTTTCAATCTGAGTTCATCCCTTTGTGTGTTTATCACTGATTGATGAATCCAAGGTGGAAGAAACAATCGTATGCACTACCAGGGTGGATGAAATTATACATGGTGTTTTTCGATGAGCAATACCTCCTTCAATATTGGACGTATGGTTGCCGTTAGGAGGTAGGTATTGGTAGCAGGGTTGCCGCGGTCAAGGAATACCGGGAAATGTCAAGGAATATGATGAAAATGTCAGGGAATCATTGTTAAGTCATCTTTAATTGCTTTGGAACAGATGTGACATTTCGAACAGCAAATGTTGCAAGAGAACTATTTCTAACTATGTTTCAACCGTTTTGCATACATTCAAGTGTTAGAAAATTTCACCAAAATTTGTCTGGGAAATGTTGGGGAATTTCATTTTCTAAATTCTGTTGCAACCCTGATGTAGAAACTTGACGTCTGAACAAATTTCAATATTTTTTGCTAATTTATAAGGTTAAACCATCGGAACACAATTCTGTAACTATCGCACTGACCCACCTCCAACTCATTTTTTTCTTTCCAACTTATCTATTTAAAAGAAGATTCAAGTTTGATCTGTACCAAGCTGTGTTTCCCATGACCATCAATCCATGAATCTATTATCTACCCAAAGTTCAGGAAACAGCATAAGAAACATAGTTCAAGTCTTAAAGCCTTTTTCAATATCCTTCATTTTCCTTTACCTTGATTCAAAACTTCTCTGTCGGCAGATTTAACCAATGTTTTGGAGTGCTGGGCGTTTTGGATCGCCTCCATGGAACCCATAATTTGTTTCGAGATTCACCTGCTTATCCGAGGCACACAACCCTTTTAACGCTTGTTCCAGCACGAGAGCTCTACCCTGATGTTCCCACCTGTCGAAAATCAGCTGCACAAGCTGAATTGCCTTTAACAGAAGACTCCCTTCTCAGTAACCACAAAATGGTATCTAAAGTAAGTTAAACCTCTCCGTACCATCAGCTGGAAAAGATAGAACACAACGATTATCTCTGAATCAGCTGCACAAAGAGAATTTGCACTTTACATTTAATTAATCCAAAATATGAATCAGTTTTTGGGAGAAAATGTTGCATATTTATTTATGAACTCAACTGTAATATTGTACCTTGTGCTCAGCACCCATTTTATGAAGTTCTGGTTGCAACTGTTCGCAGTTGGAGCACTCACTGAATCCTTTTTGTTGTGCAGTATTGAAAATGAAAAGTACTTATGTTCTTTAATTCATCAAGCAAACCATAACAATGAAGATGAAATGCGGGATTCTTAAGGTAGAAAAGAATTGATTGTATTTGAGAAGTGCCCAGTCCAAGGAATGGAAGAGGATAAGTTCCCAGAAAACTTCTTGGACATTCTCAGTTGATTCAATTTCAGCTAAACTTTGACCCTCCAGGGATTTTTCGAATGAAATGAACAGGAATCACACTCTGAGATCACGATGTTGAGATAATGCTATTTCAATTGAATTAATAATGAGAAGTCTTGAGGATCTCAAAATTAAGAACAAGAGCAAAAAGAGATACAAAAAACCCAATAAGCGATCAAGTATATCGCTGAATTCGGCTTTGTCTTTTATCGTGAAATTAGGCCTACTAAGTCTTACTTGCACAAGTAACTTTACTAGGTTTTCTCATAATGGAGTGAGAGAAACTTCTCATGGAAGTTTCTCCATCTTTGTTTGGGTCATATTTTCCCGAAACCAAAAATTGTAGCGCTCCGGTGCAGCTTACTGGGAGGAGTGTGTTATAGTTAATCAGAGGGTGATCAAGCCACTCATACAAAATTGCTCTGGAATGCAGCCATGGCATTTTTAGATAAAGCGACTTTTGGAAGTTAGAGCTTTATTTTGAAACTCTCCAGAGGGCCATGGCAAAGTGTGTGATAAGGCTTCCTGCCTCCACGGGTTAAACTGTAAAAATTTCCTCTAGGAGAACATTTCAGAGATTAATCTTGAAATATCTCTTATCGGTTTGGAGTTCATGCAATATTCATGATGCAATCAATTTTATTTGCACAATCATTGTAATTTATTGATAGTTGGCCGGTGTCTATTTTTTAAGTAACTAAAAATAATTTTAAAGTTAGTCACACAAGAGCTGTAAAAATGATCATCCAACACCTGCTATTCTGCTGTGGACCTTTAAAGATGGTTTGAAGCCTAGCATCACAATCTTTGTTTCCTCATCGAAATTTCTAACACATTTTAGCAGATTAAAAAAATTATTGCTAATCTCTTATTTACCAGTTTACCTTGAAAATTTTTGATACGCTTGATGCTCTCTGCACTGACGGAATGATGAGGAAACATTTCTTGTGAGACTTTAATTTGTAGCCTGTCAAGTAGTTCACATGTCACATTACTGATTAATCAACCAAAAAAAACAAATAGTGAAAGATCGTTTATTCCAAGAGTCTGGAATCAAAGTGAACAGTTATTAGTCTTTTGGAGTATCCAGTCGGAATGAAAAGATTTTTTCTTGCCATAATTAGGATTTTTCACAAATTTAAGACTGAGAAAAATTTGTAATCTGAATTTTTTGTGCGAAAAAAACTCATAAGAGATTTGAAACGTAACTGAGCAAGAGATTCTTGAGGACCCCTTTTTATTTGTCTTAACTACTGTACATTACAAGTCCTCTAGAGATCAGGATATTAAATGAACCATTTTTGCTCTAGGCATGAAAAAAAAGCGCTAAAATTAGTATATTTTGGGCAAACTAACAACTTCATGGCGCACCTTGAATCAGAAAGTTTGAGAGTTTATTTTTCCAGCTTCGAACAAAAATTCTGTTAGTCCAGTAGAATTTGACCCTAATTTTATAAAAATTTAGAAGTCATGACAGCATTCAAAAACATGTTATTTTTAGGAAAATATCTAAGATTTTCACGCCCTCGTTTTTGCTTCTCACAAGCTCTTAGCAGCCTTAATTGGGTAGCCTAGCAAATTCTAGGATAAGAATTAGCTGCTCATGAATGTATTTTACTTCTTGCAGATGATGCATTTTTTCTGTGCCGTAGTTCGAAGTTAAATATTTGAAGAAAATAAGAACATGATTTATGACCTTGGCTCACATGAAACATATCATGAGAAGTTCGAATCATCAGTGTCACAAGTTGATTCAGCCTTTGAACTTATTTTAACTCAAAAATAATTTTTTCAACTGAAGAAGAGTTCTTTGCTGTGTATATTGACAATCTTCATCCTGACGGAACCTAAAGAAGACATTTTCTTGAACTTTTATTCCTCATTGTTGAAGCGGAAGTGAAATTTCACTTCTTTTTCAGATGATGTCTCATCTGGAACCAAATTGGGCAGAAAATAGCAAGCCAATTTCAACACAGAATAATGAGGAAAATCAAGTAATCAGATCATGAAAATTAACAATTTAAAAATTAATATCGTGAAATTCATAGATTGAGTTTTTGAATATAGACTTAAGTCATTTTCATTTCATGACATTCCCAAAATTTCCATCTTGTTTTTTCTTTTGCTCCTCTTTAAATGTTATCTGCTCCATTAAAACCAAACGTAACCTATTATTTTATTTCAAGTGAAGCACGTACTTTTAAGCTTTATGTTCATTTTCAACTAGTTTCTTCTTTTATTTTTATTTTTTTATTATAGAAGCAATTTTTCTTTAATTTTTCATGTGGAAGTGTTATATATGTCATAGAAGTAATGCAGGTTTGATCTTTTTAACTGTCTTTAGCCATTTTAACTTCTAACAGAAAAATGTTGAAATTTGGTGCACTATCTCTACTTTTGGTGGTAGTGTTATTATCTGTAAGAAAAAACCCTAAGCAGATCATTCCTAAAATTTCTTCAAGACAGGAGTTTTTGCCTCAATCAGGCCTTTGTAAGCATGCTGTAAACTTTTAAATAAGGTTTTAATAATCTAATGCCTGCTTTTTATTATTTTGTCTTAAAAATCAAATCAAATGAAGGATTATTTTTGGAAATTTCTATCCATAAGTCACCACGCTTCAGTGTATGAGATAATTTGTGTTTGGTATCAATCTTTTTAATGAATCAAAAGTGAGCCGTCTGTTATCAATCAAATATCTCTAAGTACTTTTTTATGGTGTTTCATTGTGATATTAATGCTATTTTATCTTGACTTGAATCAAAGACTAAAATCATTCCCAGAGCCTTTCTTTTTGCATCTATAGAACTGCACTGGTGGCTGTGAAAATAATACCTGTTGTAGCTTTTCTCCTTTGCACCTCACCTCACAAGGCACGCACAGCGCAACGCATCTCATTTAATACCCACTACTGTCGATACCAAAGATGTTTTCAGGGCAAACGATTTTTAAGGTGCTATTTAAGCAAGAAATCAATTGTTTTTCTTCTATTTTGTTGGATAGTTTTCTTTCTTTTTGTAAATCTTCAACCCTTATTTCCTATTTCTTTACAGAAAAAAAAGTAAACCGCCCCAACTTTTTCTTCAGAGCATTAGAGAGTTTTCCGTCTAAAACTCAAAATTCATTTTTTTGATGGAATTTGACAATGAGGCCCTTTAAAAACGAAAGGATTTTTAAGTCCCTTCTTCCTGTGGACAATCACAATCATTTTTAAGTATTCATTGTTTATTTTGCAGAGCACCCAATTCTTTTGAGAGATTTCATAAGTCTCATTAATTCGGCACCTCTTTTAAGGGACCCTCATAAGTTTGGCACTCACTCTAGCATGATTTCTCATATTTTGATTATTCGAAATTGATAAAATTCTGATTGATAAATTTGCTTCACATTGTTTCCTGCACATGTCTGTTAAATCAAAAGGTGTATTAAACCATACGCTCCAGTGTTATATGATACATTTACAATGCTTTCCAAAGGAAAGTGTCTCCATTATTATTGAATGTATTCATTTATTGATCACAGCTATTAGTACTATTTTTTACTCATCATTAAACTGCAATTGACTCAGTGAGAATGAATACACAATAACTCGTAAAAAAGAAAATTTTCAGGAGAACTAACTGCATAGTAGGTGAAGAAATTGGTATAAGAGATAGGTTTTTGGTGCCGAAGGAAACGCACTTCGGGTCACTAAAAAGGCCTAAGTTGACGTATTTGTGTATATCTTCAATGACTTTCATGAAAATTGGGCATTTTTAAGTTTTCGAGTTGGTGTGTTTTCATTCCCACAGAGTCAATGGTGAAGAAATGATTTTCAGACATGCATGACTGGCCCAACACTGGAAAAACCAATGAGAAAAATGATACACGGTGAAGCTGTTCTGTATGTCTCTCTCTTTAAATTCTCTTTACCTCATTCTCAATGGAGCTTTGTCTCTCTTATTTTTTCTAATAACATATCTTTCAATTTTAAGTTACTAAAGGTATCTTCAACATATCTTTAAATTTATTTCTGATCATTAATGATTTTCGAGTGAAAATGGTGGTAGTATACTGTGCGTGCCCTTGACTTTATTTATGTTATCAGATATTTATCTCTATCAAATTTTTTATTCTTATTATCATTGGCTCTTTGTCATTGAGTCGAACTTTTTTCAATGTTATTCATATGTTGAGAGTGTATTTTCTGAATTTTAAAATTAAATTTCTACCAACTGTCTGTATTTTAGTGTTGTATTTTATTTTTTTTTATTTTATTTTTTTTTTTTTTTGCTCCTACCGTTTGAAATTTTCAAATTTTCAGTAATTGAATATTTCATTAATTTTTCAGTGAAACTGTCTAAACTTAAATTACATAATGATTCAATAGCTTACTCAAAGAAAAACAACTCTGCTTCCTGCGGGTCTTTACCTACAATGAAACACGGATAAATGATGAGAAACTTGAAAAAAATTCAAGTTCCGATAGCAGAAATTGACTCAAAATAATAAATCATGAAATTTAAAGATGCATTTCTTTCACAGATAAGTGAGACACTTAGAGCTTGTCATTTTAAGGTTACTTTCATGCTTTTGCGTTGTTTCAATAGTTTTGTTTGCAGGTGTTTCTTACTTTGGTTTCGCTACATTTTGATTTTCTACTTGTTGAACCTCAGTTTTAAAGAAAGTTTCATTATTTCGTCAAGTTCCACAAAAGAGAGAGTGACACAGTTGAATTTGGTAAGATTAATCATATTATATTACAGATGGCCACATACAAAGAATCAAAGTACATTTCCTTCAAAAAATATTATCACTAATTGAACAAGGGACAATGAAAAAGATAATAATTTTGAGGCCTTGATACGGCAACATGCAAACATTATGCTGAAAAAATTTGCTCAACAGGTATGCTTTGCTTATGTGCACACATACAGAAATTAGAGCAATCAAAGGAATTCAGGACGGAGAGAAGAAAGAGGAAAATTATCTTCAGCTGGGCTAAAGTGAGGAGAGAAAAATTGTTTTCGGTCCAGTGATAAAATTTGACAGCGATAATTTTCAAAACTTTCCATGCTAACAGTCTCAGAATTTTGAGAACGATATTGTTCATTTGAAAGCTCCCTACCCTAAAGTAAAAATAATGAGGATGTAATGTGTAAAAGACTCTTCTGGTGACCATCTTTTCTAATTTTTGGCATTAATTATTAACAAGCTATCAAACTGCTTCTGCACATAGTTTTCAGTCATCAGTTTTCAGTTTCATAGTGGAAAAAATGTTGCTCATGTATTTATCGATCATGTTAGTGAAATCTTATAAATTGAACTTTTAACAGAATTAAATTGTTGAGACTTTTTTTTATGATCTAGATCCAATACAGCATGGTCAGACGCTGTCTAAATGTCACACTCTATTAAAGCTACAATTAATTTGAGTGGAAACTGGTCATAAATATATAAATAAATGAAACGCTCGGCACATTAATAAAAAATTTCTGTCAAACCATGATAAAATGGAAGTTAAGTTACATTACTTTCGATAGAATTATCTGACGTATATTCAGATAAGAAGTGTAAAAGAAAGAGCCAACATTAAAAAAAGATTACTCTTAACTGTAGAAACTTAATTTCAAATTAATTCTTAACATGCTCATTATTTTTTGAGATCATTACAGCTTTCCATGAACTAAAAACAAAAGTCTACTAAAAGACGACATCCTAACTTCCTTCCGCAAATTACACAACATATATATGTAACATCTGGCATTTTGCGTTTCAAGGAAATCATTCAACTGTACGGAATTTGCACTGTATCTGTTGATCCACTGCAGTAACTGCAGGTGGGTGTGAGCTATGCTATATTATAATACTTACAACTAAAAACACAGGGCTCTTAAGTTCCTGATTAACTGCTTTTTTCAAACTTTGAGAATCCCTTGCCAGCGACAAAAACTGAGGAAATCCTTAAAGCTGAACAGTGCTGTCAATAGCACATGTTGGTAAACTGTTAAATTGTATAATGGAAATAGAAGAAAATTAGGCCAGTGTTTACTGACATTAGACAAAGAGAATTATTTTGTAAGAACACTGATGATCACACTTTTGTTTAAACACTTACATAATTCAAAACCGGTCCATGTCCGGACACTGAGTCTATGAAAAAAAAATTATAAAACTAGTAATGATTATTGATAAAGGGAAAACATTGTAACTTTTATGAAAACAAACAATCTACAAACAGTCAAGTGAACTGGTTCAAGAAACAGGAGAAAAGAATGTATAAAAATAGAAAGTTCTTTAAAAAAAGAGGAGCGAGAAGCCTCTGTGATCTAACTGAAAAACAGGGCTAACAAATGAATGGGGAGGGGAACAAACTTGAAAGTTTTACATGAAAGTGCAGACTGGAATTAAATGCGACAAGTAGTACACATCAAAATGCAATAATAAGGTTGATAAAATTTAATTTGATACATAACAAAAAATTGAACCTCATACTGCAATCAAATCTACACTGTTTTTTTCAGTTTCATTAAGAATAGAAGGACTGCTTAGAATGTCAGGAACATCCTTCAGATTTGCGGATTGCAGTTTCTTCATTGGTGATTGGTTTTTTAAGTGACTAAAAATGAGGTTTTGACAGCGCTTAAATTCTGGAGCCATTAAGTCAAGATTTTGATTGGCATCAACCACGACAATCTGCAAAAAGAAAATCAACTGTTGAAAAATACACTTAAAACAGCAAAACTTTGGCAATTCGAGCAAATTTTGCAAGTCGGCTAAAACCAGGGGTGCAAATTGTTCTAGACCGTGTGCGTGTGGTTGCGACCAAATTGTCAAAGAGCTCTGATTTTGCGGAAGCCAAGAAATTTTTTTTCTTAATCGTTCAGAGGTTTTCAGATTTTCAATAACTTGTGGAATAATGCAACTTTGGCTCACATCCTAAAATTATCAAAAAATTTGACAAAATTTTGATAAGCGCTTTCAGTTGACCTCTGAGTGAAAACTCAGGGCGTTGCAGAAAATTGCAAAGGCCAAAAACAATTTGCACTTTTGTCTATAACTGAGAAAGGAATTGCTACAGGTTTCAAACTATCACATTTTGACGGGTGAATCTCTTGATTTTGCAAAGAATGAAAAGGTCTTTCTTGGAGTGCCCAAAGTACCAAAACTTTGACCATTCACCTCACAGCAGTAACTCTTCTTTGGAGATATACATCAAGGAAGCCTAAATTTGACCAGATTTACTTGAAACGAATCAAATCACATTAAGCTGATTTCAAGAAAATCAAGGTGAGAGGTTTTAAGCTCCTGGTGCCATGTCTGTTCGGAACTACTGAAGTTCGAATTTTCAAAAACTTATACCTACAGAATTAAATCACGACAAAAAATTTGGAATCAATGCTTTACCTAAATAGGTGAAGCATTAAAGCAGTACCTAGGTAATTGAATAATTATTTGTCTTTTTTATCACTGGTTCTGCAAGACTTATTTTAAAATGGGCAATATCAAATCAGAGAAAGGAACCATTTGCCACTCGGCTCTATTGCTGATTGTTTCAAGCCAGCAGGCAAATTCATAAAGAGCAACCAAATACACTTGGTTCTTTCATAAAATTCGATTTTGAATGCCACACGGACTTGATTGCCAAGGGACTCTGCACAGTTTTTTGCAGGACAGGGGAGATACTCGAATTCGACTGTGTAAGGGAGAATCGAATTTCCGAGGACTTGTGTACAAATTAGAGATCGCCCATAGAAAATCAACCTGCATTTCAAATGAAAATTTCTAAATGAAATAATTATTCCTAGATTAAATGTTGCTGACCTGAAGTACCGCATTATTAAGCCTGTTCAAATCAACCATTAACTTAAAAAACCCAAAAATGGATTTCGTTCCTTTCTGCCGGATGCGGTCAATTGAGTTTTTCTCACATTACTGTTACCAAAACATCATCTTTTCCTACTCCACTGTATCATCAGAATAAAATGTCGCAAGGGGCTAATTTAGGCTTTTAAATGAAGGAAGAAGACGATGATGCTCCGCTCCATCAAGTCTATGGTGAGCTCCCTGGGTAGAGATGCGCTTTGTTCTGGGGTAGCATTCAGGTTTCTTTTAGATTTTGTCTGATATCGATGGCCAAAGAACAGAACTACATTTCTCCACTTGCAACATTGCAGACTTCCTGTAATGCTTGATTTTTTGTTCCAGAAACTAGTTACTGTAATTCCATGAAAACTTCCTCAATTTTTCTTTTGGAATAGCAGAATATGCTGTAAAAATTTCAAGCTAAAAAGTTGGCTTGTTTCTCTTGGGAAAATAAATAGGAGCGGAAGTTGTACTTTGGCCATCGACAAGGCAGTGTACTCTCTAGAGCAACGAGGAGTTGTAAAATCGGTACAAAGTTGCAAACAGTAGATAGACCCTAAAAATCTTTAGATTTTTTTTCCTGGGAAGAAAAAGGGGGTTTAAAAATCCTAGAGAGTAGAGGTAGACACGTCATTTTCAGAGGTCTGCCATTCAGTTGTAAGTTAATGAAGAAAGCTCAACAAGGGTTTTTTATAAAGATACGCAGTATTACTTCAGCTACAACAAACTGCGACTTGAAAGCTGTTCCATTCACCCAGAAACTGTAAAAGCACAGTAATCTTTGACCCCCTGCAAGCTTCTTTCTTTTCATAAGAATGGTAGAGATTAAGAAAGTCACAATTGAGTAAAAAATAATTTAAATTATTGCATGCTGAGTGATAATCATGTTTTAATAACACTAAGTCAAAAAGAAGCAAAAGTTAAAAAAAGAGAGTAATTCAATACATACAGGGGGCAAAGCTGCACCAGGGATAGTTTTGTGGATGAGCCAATTCTCATGTAGAACATGAAGTTTTTGCAAGTATTCTAGAGAAACTGTGTGTTCTTCCTGTCGTGCCCTAGCTTTCATTCTTTCATACACAACCTCTGGACTAGTTTTCAGGTACACTGGAAAAGAAAACAAGTACAACTATTGAGAAATGCGAGATCATTAAGGATGGCAAAAAATGAGAAGTTATTGCTTGATCATAAAACAAAAGGTAGCTCAATGGGCCTGTTGCAAACTTTTGCTAGAGCAAAAATAAGAGTGGTTCCTGATAAATACTGTCTCAAAAATCACAATGAGTGCATCGGCAAACTCTGAAATGCACTCCTAACTTCACAAGCTTCCCGCTTGAAAAAGGATACTACAGCATAGGTGATCATTTCACTAGCGGAGTCGTTCCATTCAATCCCTGCTCAATATGGCCAACGTTTCCGGACGCAAGTTAAGGAGAGCACAAGGTCAATCAAGGCAAATATCTATCAACACGAGAAAAGTGTGAATGTCAAAACCAATTGTTATCGGGTGGTTAGAGTCATCGTCCCGTCAGATGTGTTTTGGCGGACTGGTGTCTGCTATGTTGAATATTACGTAGTGTCCTTGTGAACAGGGATTGGATGGAATGACTCCTCTGACAAAATGTTTACCTGTGCCTTGGTATTGTTTTTGAAGCAGGAGGCTCGAAAAAACGCAAATTTCTTAAGCAAATTGCAAAGTAAGGAGTACACTTCAGACTTTGCTGATGTGCTCATTGTGATTTTTGAGACACTTTCCATGAGTGACAATTCTTATTTTTGCTATAGCACAAGTTTGCAACAGGCCTGCTAGAGTTTGAAATTCTCTATCTTAGAATTACGTATGTTTTACACAGGTGAATTAATGTAATTCCTCTAGGATCCATTTCTAAAGATATACTGCTGGATTTTATTTGGACGTGTCTAGAAGCTGTTCTCCACATTATGATATGAAAAGGCCTCCTTCAACCTCCTTAAGTCACTATGTAAACCATGTGAGGCTCTCTAAGAAAAAGAGCTAACTCAAGAGTGATGATAAATACGACCCTCTTACAAAAGACCTAAAACTTTGTTTCCTACCTTTCAATACACGCAAGCATGCAGAAGATGGGACGTACGACTGTCTTGCCTCAAATTAAATAAATTACTCTTTTTCATAGTGAAGAGTCAAATTCATTGATTCTTAATCATCTAAGCAAATTCTAATGGTATTTTCCATGATTATTGACAATTTTACAAATAACAGAAGGGTTTTTTTAAAATAAATTTTCTGCTCACACATCTTTGAGTCCTGTTTCTCTAAAGTTCATTTCTGCAGTTTCTGTTCTCTTGGGTAACAGCAGATTTGATGAAGAACTAATACCCTGACGTTTGAAAATTTCCCTGATTTGAAAACATTAACTTTTGATACAAACCTATTAAATCTCCATGGATATCACAATTGCTAGAGATCCATTCGAACCAAGAATCTAAAACGGCATACTCGGGAGCAGACATGATTTTTTGCTGGAAAAGGTTTTCAACAAAGATGTGCCTGGAAACAAATGATAAAGTAGATTTGGTTAGGTAATTAATCTTCAAAAAAATCGAGTGAATTAACTGCCCTCATCACTTGATAAATCCCGCGATCAAATTGTCAAGGTCATGCGGAGGTCTGAAAGGCTGGCTGAAGTCAGAGCATGCCAATTCAATAACGATTAGATTGCTCGATGAACTTATCTAATGATACAATACATTAATCTAATGACACTGTGTTTGAAATATCTTTGTCTTCAATAAAACATCAACAGTGCTAGCTCAACATATAATTACTTCAGGAAGTGACAGTGTAGGTCATAAAAATATGATGCAATGTGACAGGAGATCTATTAAAACTCTAAAAGCTCTAACGAAAACCTACTGGATTGCAAAAATTCATATTATTTTACCTTGCACTGTGAATTGATCTTTCCATCAATTTGATTGGTTCATCACATTTTTGAACATGAACATCTAGCATTGTTTTTTGAACCATAGTTTGAAATGTCAGCCCCCACCTTGATGGATCTTTGTACATCAGTTCCTAAAAATAGAAGAGCACAAGATTCATTAAAAATATTCAAGATTCATCAAACAAGAGATAAATGGCAGTCGCAATCTGGACAAAAATTTGATTACAATAAAAGACAATGCGCGGCAGTGATATATTACGGGCACTTGCATACCATTCTATAAAACACAGTGGCTTCAAAACCTAGAACTGGCATTACTTCAACGGCTTCCTGTTCGCCTAGTACCATCCATTTGTGCCAGCAGTTTGCCTGTGCAATTAGGTGCCAATAATGATGTGCCAGAGATGTTGGTTACTTGCAAGGCGGAAGAAGAAAGGTGGTCACATTTCAAGTTAAGCCGGCAATTTAAAGGCTGTGGCGCGCAGAGGGTAGGTAGATGCTTTGCCAAGCAATCGGATGTATCCAAAAAGTACCCTATGCCATGTGACATCAAGAGAATACGAAATGCGACCTCCATTCTTCATCTGCCTTGGGTTTCCTAGTAAGAATTGTGGTTCCTTAGGGGGAGAAAAATTTTGAGAGTGAAGAAAATCCTGCAGACTTCGCCAAGTCTAACCTCGCTGTTATGATCTGGACTCACTCTTACAATACTACGGACTCTTCGGCTTCAGTAAGAACATGAAACATGAGACCATCATAAATATATGACTGAACGATGTGAGTCACTGGAATTCGCTAAATAGATTGACAAGATGAGCACCAAAGCTGAACTCATAAATTGTACCAATAAGTTGTGTCCTTTCAGATCCCTCCATTGCTCCACAGGTTCTGCCGCTATGTACGTATTCGGGCATTGTTCAAAGTGTTTCAGAAAAGTGGTTTTTCCGCTACCGATGTTTCCTTCCACAAACACAGTAAATGGTTTCCTCTTATCTTCAGACATGGTGGAATAAGCTGCACTTCTAACACAAGAATAAATACATAAATTGAACAAAATACGCGGGAAATGTGCTAGCGAACTCGACAAGCGGACCAGTTTCGAGCAACAATGAATATCCGTTATCATTACACTGGTTTTACGCGCAAAAAACTCAAAGAGGATAGTATTTCATGTGGTTGCTCATTACAATCCTAAGGATTTTCTAACCTATATCAACAAAGCGCTTGAATTTCGTCAAAGAGCGCATGCGCAGATGTCATTAACCTTTCGAGGACCAATCACAATCGAGAATAAGCCCGCGTTTTCCGTGGCGGCGCTAAAGTTTGAACTTTCGCGCATGCCTCTGCGCTGACGCAATTTCATTGCGATCGACCTGCAGTTACACGATTTCTCACGTTCCTCCAAAAGGTGACACGATGAGAATTTTTAATTTTACGGGAATATTTTCAGCATTTATCGATCCCAATAATTAGATGACCGGAACGTTCTCGTGGCTCATCAATGAGCTTTAGGAGAGGCACACGTATACAGGGTGTCCCAGGATGAAGTACGAATATTGAAAGAGTCGATTCTTTGCGGGTCAAAAAAGATGTTTTTATGGTACAACTTTTTTTCCAAAAACGCTTCCCCTGGTGGCCACGGCCACCTAAAGTTGGAGGGGGAAAAAAATCGTCTTTCTAACACCGTGACAATGTTTATCGACCAATTTTCATTAAAATTTTAAAATTACCCGCGCTTTTTTCATTTAAGACCTCCAAAAAAGGGAAAACGCATTTTTTTTTTTTGGGGGGGGGGGGGGAGGGTATCGAATCTAGAAGTGGCCAAAATTAATGTTTTCAGCGACAAAAATTAATTTTTGACGGCACCACTAGATTCAGCGTTGAAAATTATTGAGGAAATGTGTCTTAACGTTTTTCCGCTATGACTCATCGTTTTCGAGATAATAGGGACTGAAAGGGGCGCGGGTGGGGGGGGGGGTGGCTCCCAGGGAAAGCGTTTTAGGAAAAAAAGTTATACCACAAAAACGTCTTTTTTTGACCCGAAGAATACACTCCTTCAATATTCGTACCTAATCCTGGGACACCCTGTATTTTCGGTCGTCCTCCATAGTCCATAGACGCACATCAAATATTTGTAGCGGCACTCTTTCGCCGCTTATCTTATCATCAATCAACCGCGGCACACAATCGTAGCAGTAATAATGATAAATGGACGTATTTCTATCAAACGGAACTATGTGCATTATGACGTGAGCCCTGTTACACATGTATACTTATGGATCTTAGGGCTCATGTCTAAATGCACATAGTTCCGTTTGACAGAAATACGTCCAAATTAAAAGAGGTTTTCGTGACCTACGTTCGCGAATTTGTGACATTTGAAACCTGCGAGTTGAGGCACAACTCAATGAGTAATCCTCATACACACCTACGCTAAGTAATTGGAAGAAAATTAGCATGTTGGAACAGAAGAAATCTAGGCAACAATGCTGCCTCATCATTTTTCATCTTCTTCATCCTCTCGATCTTCTACGTTATTACAACTGAGGAGCTTGGAAGACAGGGCGCATAAATGCATTTTTTGCCATTTCAAGAAATACATGTATTTGAAGTATCAAAATTACATGGATCCTTATGGCGGAAAGAAAGTTCAAACTGACTTTTTGATGCTTAAAAATTGGAATTTGGAAGCTAATTTTCCACAGAATATGCATTCAGCCTAAATTTAATTGAAATCATTAATATCTCAATTTTTTCAAAAACTGCACTTATGTGCCTTGTCTTCCAAGCCCCTCAACTGGGGTATTGGGAGAGCAGGAGGGACACTACCACTTCTGCTAGTACCATAATTATGAGAAATCATTGAGTATATAACTTTCCATCCATTAACCAAATATATCACTTATTTTGGTTTCACATATCTGGCAGTGAGTGTTTTATATCTATCAATTTTAACAGAAACTGACCAAGTAACATTTTAGAAAAAACGAGTTGGAAGTAGTTTTGAATCAAACTAGTCGTAAATATTCTACTATTTCTTTTCTTCTTTCAGGTTTGAATCTCCGACTGAGTTTTTATTTCCAGTGCTACTTTTGTTTTTGAAAATTCCCTCCTTTCAATAATAAAATTCAATGCTATTATTGCACAGGGTGAGCTGCTGCTGCTACAAATTGAAGAAGACTTAGGAGTTTTGTGACTTTTTTGCTGATATTCTTTTCAATTAGTCGGGACCTACTTTGAGAAATTCCATAGCCATAGGACTTCATTTTTGTGGAGAGACGGCTCTGAGGAAGAAAGGTTTTTTTTGGAAAATAATTAAAGGTAGCCTTAAAAAAAGAATTTACCTGCTCATTTGAACACATCATCTCCTGGCTACAAGACAAGTGCTGAGCCATTGCTCGACCACTGAAGGGGTGTAAGTCAGCAACCATGTATTTCGTTTGCAGTGTTTCAAAATCTCTGCTCCTTGTATTTCATGTTTAAATGGAAACAAATAGACATCATTGCATTTTTTGCAGAATTTTCTTCATGCAGAGAAGAAAAATTTTGGCAGCTTATAGGGATTGCTGTTGAGTAATTTTTCATTTGAAAAATAAAGTATGACAGGAAGTCTGCAACGTCGCAAATCGAGATATGTGATTGTGGACTTTTACTGTGATGATCATCGCAAAGCGCCTTTGGGAAATTGTTTTGACGGTTATGAGGACCCATGGATAAAAATTCAAAAGCAACCATCCCTGAAAAGCAATTGCGCTTGAACTGTTTGTTGCCATTTTTGCTGATTCAAACTCCATAAAAATCAGAGACAGTCACTTTTGAGTCTCCCTTGTTGATGATCCAGATTTCTAGGTATTCACCACAAAAAATAAAAAATAAAATATTTAGAAAAAAATTTCAGTATAATTGAGGAAAAAATTTTAATGTGGTGACACAGTATTTCAAAAGAATACTTTGACAAAAAATTCTAGAGGGCGAAATGAAAAATGATTGAGCACTTGACACAACTACAAATAACATTTTTAAAAATGGCACTTGGATAATAATAAAAGGGGAATTAGCGAGTATCACAAGATGCCCAAAAAAGGAACATGATAAAAGAGAGATAATATTACCTAAAGTATCAAAACATTGCCTATTGATACAATCAAACAAAAAAAGTGAGTATTTTGAGATCACAAAATTTTCATAAATAGAATTCGACACACTGTTGCACCTATAACAAAAAAAGAAAAACTAATTATCATACACTATATTTTGGAGATGAAACTAGAAAATAGCATGACGCGTGACTCTAATTGTAGTTTCAAATTTTTCGCTTATAAATCATGTTTTCAAAGAATATTGCCTGATAATTTTTGCATGATTTGTTTTCAAAAAATCCCTAATGAAAATATTGGAGCTATAGGGTGGCGATGAAGGTCTTGAAAGTCTTTAAATTTTACTTAGTTCATCCTTTTGAAAATATCAGAATTTTAAAGCACACTAACAATGCAATCAATAGAGTACTGGACAATCAATTTTTTTTTTTTTTTTGAGACAAGCAGATGTTAATAAAATAGAATGGTACAATACTGCTGGGTCCACCCTATTCTGCGGAGGAAAGAATCAATAAACTAACATTAGAGGTACAAAATGAACTCTAATAAATTCATCCCAAGAAATCACTCAGTCTCCCCTCAGTCTTGTACCGACATTCATTAAAGTTCATTTTGTGACTCGAATGCTAATTTTCGGATTTTTTGGCTTTACTTGCCCTGCAGAATAGTGTGAACCCAGCAAATATTCTACTATTCTCTTACTCGTAGAGTTTAGGCTACATTTCTGGTGTTTGTTTTCTATTCTTTTTTTTTCTTGAAAATATAACTGGAGCCCTAAATTGAACAAAACATCAACTGCAAAAGAGGGATATGCAATTTCTTCCAGTAACTCTTCCTTCATAAATTTATATGGGAAAATGTATTTTTCATCTCGGAGGGAATTGTGCCTCATTAGTTTATGTTAAAATCAAAATCCCGAGTCTGAGGAAGAAACTTGAAAAACATGATCTACTTTTAAGGCTACACTGTAACACTTTTATTGATAATTAAATTTAAACAAGTGAGAAAAAAATGAAAATTGATCTGAAATTCTACCTCAATGATTTCTTAGATTTTGGATGGTTTCAGGTTCATATCTCAACTCCCTCTTTTGAGCCAATGCAGTTAGAGGTACTTGCTCCTCCACTTCATTACAACTGGTTACTTGCTTTTCATTTCCTGTCTCAGGAGTACCAAATTTACACTCTGAAAAAATAGTAAAGGAAACTAAGAAACATTATAGCACCGATTGAACGAGCAATGTTAATTTTTATATTTTTTTCAAACGTTGTGTACATCTTAGCTGCAAAGGACAAGATGTGGTTATCATGAAAGGTTCTATTTAGACCTTGAAGGGAATAAACACTCAAAGACTGATGATAAGCTTTCATTACATTTGAAAAGTATGCTAATAAACTAGATCAATGCCATTGATCTTGAGTTTAAATTTGCAAAAATAACCGAGTGATGAGCTAGAGTGACTCTGCATGCTTACATATCTGTAGGCAGTTGGTGTTCCCCTTTAAACCCCACGCCGACAACTTTCAGGTTTAGCAGAGGGGAAAACAGAGATTAAGAGTGCGACCTGGCATAACAGAGCTAAAAATGACAAGTCATCTGCTCTTCAAACAGCTGCAGCTCCTTCACAAGGCTTCAGATGCCAAAACAAAGTTCACTGCCGATCATCATTGAAATCCATACATAAATCTTGTCAAATAGGCTTCTTGAGTGTTTGTCCCTTAAGAAGATATAAAATAAGCAATAACTTGTTTCTCAATGGCTTCGAAAAATGTGATTTATACATCAAAACTTTGCATAACTGATTCAGAGAAGATGGATATGGATTTAGAAACCAAAAACCATTAAACCTCTTTTTCATGTGGTGCCATCAATTGGCTTAAAAGATACAACTAAGAAGAGAAAAAACGTGTTACAAAACTTTAATGAAATTAGCACATTTTTTTATGATGAGAATCGGGCTCAACAGAAATAGAATAAAAATTTTTTGGCTTTAACAGACAACTAAAAATAAAACCACACTTACTGAAGCAAGAGCTGCCAGGAAAACTGCACAGGCATTTCTTACAATCGTTCATGGTCACAGTACTGCGATGGAACCACAAAAATGCAAGACTCTGAGAAAAAGATATACGCAAACAATTTTTAAAAAAATGTAATTATCAAATTCAGTTGTCACCAATTTATTGACAGAGGTGAAAATTTTGTCATCATGAGATTTTAAAATAAGTATACTAATAACGTTTGGCACCTAAATTATTAAAGTTTTGACATCAATGAAGGGTGCGATGGGACTCCCTGCATGTAAGATATACAAATATTCAGTCATGAATTTTTTCCTTTTTGTTAAACCATCTAATAAGGTATATCACTTTCATTTCTGCTTTACAACTGCATTGGATGTCTACTTGGGATACTCTATTACAGGATAAGGGATACTCTACTTCAAACAAATCTACATAAAAACGGAAAAAATTTACTTACCAACAAGAGACAACAACAGATACATAAGGAATCAACAACGGAACTTGTTGAGGAAGAAGAAGACCAAATTTGAAACAGCTCAACAGCTCCCATTAATAACATTAGCACAGTGCAGCTATAGAGTTCTTTACGCCTACAGAGACAGAATAAAAAATTTATTGGAAATACGGTAAAAAAAAGTTGCAGTGTTGAGAATATTCGTGGCAACAGCAGAGATCTTGGATTTCAACTCAAGTGTCGCATAATTTCAGCTCCTACCTACTTAAATTTGCACTTATCCTTGCAGAAAAGATTTGTTGGAATGTTATTTAGATAGCCAAAGAAAAGTTATGCTAAATTTTGCTAAGTAAAAACACCAAAGGAACTGCTTAAAGGAACTGTGACAGGAAATGTGTCAGTTTACAAATCCAAGATACAAGTACACCACCCATATACTCTTCATTCTATTGTTATCTGCCTACCATGAACCTAACAGTTCTCATATTTGAGCTCAAATGTGACAAAAAATCAATAAATAAATGATAAGAATTTATTTGCTGATATCATAAGGAATAAAAACACATAGTTTTCAGGTAATCCTTTAAATGAGTTACATAATTAATGAGTCACAAAGGCAAATCCATTCAAATGTGGTCTCACTTCAGCTAATAAAAGATAAAAACTCATGTTGTAAAAAAATTTTACAGTCAAAGGAGGTACTACTTAAAGAAAACTTACACAGTGCTTTTTTTCCCTGAATATTGTGACTTCAATTTGTGGCAAAGACAAAAAAATAGAGCAAATTGAAGAAAATTAAAAATAAGCAACAACCACAGTACGGTTATTTTTGCAACTGAATTTGAATTATTTGCTAGTCTGATAGCATAACCAACAGACAACATAAGTAAAACCGGAAAACCTGAAATAACAGAGGAATCCAATGAGTAAAATCTGAAAAAACATGATTGCAAAGCTTAAAAACAAAAAATTCTTAAACAAAATTAAAAATCACTTTTCCTCAAATCTGTTGAAAATTTGAAACTTAATTGTCTCATTTCATCTCAAAAAATTCAAAATAAATTTAGCATTATCATGCGTGTAACTGTAACATTTACTGAAAGCATGAAGACAATATTTTCACAACTTTCCTTTTCCAAGAGATTTAGGACTTAGTAGTAATGTTGAGTTGAAAGTAAGAAAGTAGAAAAAAATTAAAATAATATATGTCTCTCACATCGTACCTAAAATTGGGAGTGAGGATATATATATGTATATTACAGATTATAATATTTCAAAAGGCACCATGAGGAATTTTTTTTGACAATTCCTTCTTTTAGCATAAAGTATAGAAAGTTTTTCCTAAAAATGCTATACTTTGGGAATTATGTAAACAACAAATTTTTCTGAGCAAATAAAGTAAAACAATATTTACCAACAGCCGCAAGTACTATTGTGTATTTGTAGATATTCAGAAGTTCATATGTCTTGAGATAAATGACTAGAGATTGACTGGCTATTAAGGAGATAATTAAAATTTGCAGGCAAGATAATCCCAACTGTAACACAAGATTGAAACACACTAGAGAAGCTGTGCAAAGAGAAACGTAATGACTATTGTAAAGTTATACTCAAGACTGAAACTCACTCAAAAAGAACTTCAAAAATGGCATCCACTATGTTATCAATCGTCAGAGTCTCTTGCTGGTAGCGAAGAACTAGGTAAAAATAGCTTTTGAAGAACTGGCTAGTCATCTCATTACTTATACACAGACTTATTTCATTTTTCATTCTTTCTTTTGGTAAGAAATCTTACTCTATAGTGTAAAATCATAAGGGTATCATGTGAGAGTGTCTCGCTAAACAAGTCACAAACTGGTTTCTCCTCCACTCCCCGCTCTGTTCCTGACGCACATTGCTCACATACTTCTCGCCATCTTCAAACTGGGTTTTCCCGAACTCTTAATGATCTTGACGATCTCACGATCTTAATGCCATTTATATCGGCACATCAGATGCGCAAAGCGCCTCTGGAGGGTTGGGCCGCAGAACGAACAGGGGGCGCAGCCCCCCAGTCTCTGATAATGTGGATGGAAAACTTATCAAAAACCAAGCTTTACTTTTGCCAGTTAATTAGATGGCTCATTTTTTTCAAAATCTAGTGATCTTATTCTGTAATGGGACAAAGGATGAACCTTACCATTGAAGTATTCGAGAAGAAAAATACTTGTAACAAATACCACAGTAAAACCAGACTACAAAACAACTTTAAGAATAACTGCAAAGAGAGCTTTTTCGTCAAATTAATAGCTATTATAAATCCAGCCAATAATGTTGCCAATATTGAACCAAGTTGGATAGCACGAGTCAAGGTACAGCTTGGTTCCTGAAACATGACACAACTTGTTTTAGACACGTAAATTTGTGATTCCATAAACAGAGAAATGAGGGAGATGCACAAATTTGATCACTTTCATCAAATCATCGAAATTTTTTGGATGATTAAACGACCTCAAAATAGCTGAAAATTAGATTCACATTAGTATTAAAATTTTTATCACAAAAATAATTAGCCAGTTTGTAAAATTATTATTGAAGCCTTCAGCTTACCATGACATTACTATTGTTGAATGAATCATGAACTACTCAATGTTTCACTACAAAATGTAAGACAATTTTGACGGATAAATTCTAAAATTTTCAAGACATTTTCTATCATTGTTTTTAATTACTTTTATTGTGTAAATCACTTTCTTATGCTAGCATCTATTGGTTGGCGCATTCTTAACCTATTTCATCTTAGACACCCTGAATTCTTGGTGTAACCTATGATGCTCATGGACTTGTCAGTATCCTATCCATAATTCTATACTCCGTGAAAGCAGCACCAACTTTTTTAAATTTGTTTGAAATTATTCACATGTAAACAGAAATACTATTAAAATACAACAATTTTAACAACCAACTACATGGCAGTCCCTTCTTAAAGTGACTGGAAGGAAGTTGCTTCAGATTGCCTGACGATTTTTTTCATTTCAAGTTATCTGTGGCTAAAATTTTGAGACCTTTACAAATAATGATGTAAAGTTGTTATTGATGTGAAATAACTTGAAAAGAGGGGAATATCTTGTCATCCATTACGACAAAAAAAAGTATTTTCAGATAATTCCAAGGTGATTGATCAATAATTCGTCACCTTCCCGGCAAAGTATCACAAGCGCCACTTTGCCAACTTTTCAAGAGACACAAAAAACTGAATTGCGACCGTAAAAGACGGATGTTTGGCTTGAAACTTGAAATATAGATCCAGCACACCTCCCTGCTTCGAATTTTAATAAAATTTCTTTAAAAAAACGGGTTTTTCTTTGAAAATTGGCGCTTGTGATATCGGCTTCTCGGGGCACTCTGAGAATCTATTGGCGCTTGTGATACGAAAGCCCATCAAATTTAACGGAGTTTTTTCCATATTTCTTCATTTTTAATCTAAAAAAAAATATTATTTTCGTATGTAAATGCATCTTATTAATTCAAAACTACCCATAACTCAACTTTAATAAAAATAGCGCTTGTGATACTTCGGCCGAAAAGTGACGAATCGCTCCAAGTCATTCCAAAAGTTGTTGATACTAATATCGAAAATCAATCTCAAAGATGAGCGATTATTCCCAACTTGGCGCTTGTGATACTTTTCTCTTACATGGCGCTTGTGATACGAAAGTTCGTCAACTTCAATGGAGTATTTTAAATATTTATTTATATTTAGTCTAAAAAAAATATTATATTCGAAATAACGAGATGTAATTACATGCGAAAATAATTTAGTTTCAAGTCATTCCGAAGACTGCCGTGACAAAAATTGTAAAACAATCAGAAAGGTAGGCGGTTGCCGAACTTGGCGCTTGTGATACTTTTCTCCCAAATGGCGCTTGTGATACGAAAGTACATCAACTTTAATCGACTTTTATTCATATTCCTACATATTTGTTGTAAAAAAAATGATTATTTTCGTATGTAAATGCATCTCGTTATTTCGGAACTATTCATAACTCAATTTCGGTAAAAATGGCGCTTGTGATACTTTGCCGGGAAGGTGACGAATTAGTCTCACCTTTTTCTCATCTTCATTGAAAAATGTCTTCTTCTTCTCTACACTTTTAAAACGGTGAGCGGTGGCAACATGGGTAATTCGTCACTTTTGTGCCATTGCTTATAATTTTGAAAATTTCTAAACAAAGATTTTCCAAGAGATGAGAACAAACACACACTTATTGCCCACAAATTTCTCCAGAGCAATCTTAAGAATCGACTTCTTAAGTTTGGGATGATAAATTTCCTTGTTTTTATATTATTATGAAGCAAAAATAACGCGCATCATTACCCACGCCACCTAATGATTTTGTCTTCAGATAACTGAGGAGAAACTGTCAGCCAATCAAAGGTGGCCTCTTTCCTGCTGCTATAAGTGGGCGGTCTTTTGTTTCTTTCTCATATTCGTCCGATCCAGGACAATTCTTTGGATGCTGAAAAATTCTATACCTGAGGTTTAAAGGTGCGCACCAAACTGAAGGTGCCCAACTTAGAACACGAACATCTATGAAGATTCCTGGCCACGTGGTTGGTAACACAGACAGAGAAGTTTAGAGGAAATTCACCTCTTTGAATTAAGGCGCATTTTACATCCCACCTATCGGCCATAAGTAGCTTCCAGTCCATTGTGAGATTGACCTTATCAGAGACAGTTAGGAATGCTTCATTGCTGGCTACACTCACGATAATGCTCTCAGCTTCAGGTAAAATAACGCCTTCTTTTCTAAAAGATAGTAATAAAAAATTAAAACACTGATGGATGAGCAACGGCAGTGCATAGTGGGCAAAGAGTAAATATTGGGATTTTTACCATCTTAATACTAATTCTGAGAGGGTCAGCATGCAATTGATGATTTAAAAAGTTTAAAATCTGCTCTTTGTCCAAAGTTTGAAATTTGTAGCGCTACACAAGATTTGTTGTGTGAGAGATTTGTCATTTTAAAATATTTGTCATTGCCAAAGATTTGCTGTTAAGAAAATCCACAATTAAAAATCAGAGAAGAGAGAAAAAAATCTCGGCTTGATTGTGCTGCACAGTTTCTAGGGCATACTTACTGAAAGTCTTGCAAAATTCTGGTTGATAGAGACAAGGAGGAATTTCTGAATAAAATCACAGAAACACTAGGTTCCTGGAATGAAGAGTCATTGAACTGGAACTTCTGAAGATTTACACCAACTAAAGGTGAACCCAAACTGCCATCACTGGACCTGTATTAAAGGAAAAGTATAAAGACTTTAATTAAAAAATAAAATCTAAATAAATTTTGAGGTAAAAATGAAAAACTGTTCATGTAAATTTTCAGAACGAAAGAAAAAAAAAAATCAACAAATCAAGAAGTGAAACAGTCAACCCAACTCTTACTGAGTGAATTGTCTCTTTCCTGAGAAGCAACTGATTTTCATCATGAGTTTCATGAAATCAAGCATGAATTGGATCCCATTTAGCAAGAAGGAACCAGCTCATTACAGAGTTGAAAACATGCTGCTTTTTCATGTAACACTCTCACAAATAAATTGACACAAGAGAGAAGAGTGAATACAACACACAGGAAAAAGAAAGGAGGCCTGCTGTAGAGCAGGGTCTCAGGGGAGTGAATAGACTGAAAAACTATTGAACTTCTGTCTGGCTGAACACGGAAATAGTTGAACGAGCCCTAGCGTAGGGAAATAAAACTGGGGACGCAAAAGTTTCGGCCTTTGAGGCCAAAACCCCTGAAAAGGATACTCACATTTTTATTAACGAAAAAGGGCAACAACGAAGAGAGGATAACTACTGGCTGACACAGCCAGCCACTGGTATTGTACGGCTGTAGTCACACGTCGATCAGCGTATCACATTGGTCCGGAGTGTTCCAGAACAACTTGGGCAGGAAAAACTGGGACTATGGCTACGTATAACCACGTTACATTCATAATTATCTAAAAAATCTCCCAGAACAGCAAATAGTTTTTTCTTCCCCCAAAAATTGTTAACTTTAAAGGTAAATAGTTATGTAAATTTTAAAACTGTATAAATATTAGGTATTTGTAAAAGAAAAGAGGAAGTTGCAAGATTTTGAAAACGCTGTAATTGGGCAGGTTCCTTTTTGCTAAATGTGATCAAACTAAGTATCAATATTCCAGGCCTAAGTATATACAAGAGAATTTTTGAAATCGTGACCATCTGCAAGAATAAGGATTACCTATAGTCAAAACAAAAACCCTCTAAATTGATGTGAAGAGGATTGTCCAGTAAACATTTTGATGCAAAAATACCCGGAGACATAGTATGGAAAGCAAGTTATAATGCTTCACTGTTCAAAAAACGCAATTTTAAGAGTGAAGGTTGTAAGGCTCTGCCATAGTGAGGGCACGAAATTATCAAATTATACTGCAACTACACACCCTGTAGAAAAAATTTCTTGGTAATCTGTGCAAATTCTTTAGCGTCCAGAAGCTACACTTTGTTCTCTAAGGACAGACACAGTTCTAAAAGAGAATCAATTTCAATATTACATACCTAATTTCCGTTAGAAAGTCTGGTTTTCTTCCGACATGATCGATTGCTCTTGAAACAGCGTAGAAGTTTGGAGAACTGAAGTTGAAGTGTCCATCTTTTCTGACTAAGTATTTCTCATACATGAATATCCATGGGTGCATCGTATTACTGACAGATAGTAAAACCTGGAACCCAATTCAAAATCAACTTTTGGTAGAGGTTTACAGGTAACAGTCATATTATAGTTCTGATAATTTCATTTTTCATTTAAAGTGATTTTTCACTAGTTGACTCTTAAAGTCCTGTGGAGGGTCAGAGAGATATACGACATGCAGATCTCTATTTTTTGGCTAAATACAGATTCAGAAACCTGAACCATAAATAACTGTAAAAACACAAAACAGCAAGGTTATCAGGGAGAGTTCATGACAAGCTGACAGTTTCAGCATTCATACAATAAGCCTTATCTTCGCGGAACGTTTTCATGAGATTTGTCACAAGGTCAAATTGCAGGAAAGAAACTTGTGGAATTTTCTGTGGTTACCGTTATGTGACTCTCAAGTTCCTGCGACAGGTTTGCGCAGGAAGATAAATTAGTAAAATTCCAGTATTTAAACGGAGTTAAGGTAATTGTTGGAGACAATCAACAGTTGAACAAATTATTAAAATTAAACAAATATGAAAAATCGAGTGACCCCCTTGGTACTTGTTGCAACTTTGTGAGTGTGGCTTTTAACTATGAAAAATCGCGAGAAAACATCCTGTGAAAACAATGCCGTAGAGAGCATTTATAAAATCAGTTCTTCAGATAAGTTACATAATGTTCGTGTAAAATGCATATAAACAGTAAAATCAAAGTGAAGAACATTCAATGTTGATGTATAATAATACATGATACCTAGGCTGTGCTTTTTTCTTTTTCTTTCTTTCTTAACTATGGACATTAATGGAGAAAGTTTGGGAACTTTTTTTCTAATTTAATTTTTTGAATCAATAAAGTAAATTGTGGAAGGTGTTTGCTCAGTACCTGAGTAGAATCAATTGAACTAAAATGTCGTAGCAGATGGCTGAAAATGCCAAATGACATTTTCATCACTGTTGTTAGATCAACTTCCAAAGAGTGCGAGTGTGAGGAGAAAATTGATTCTACTAGATTGCAAGAATCATCCATGAAGCCGAAAAACAAATCAACGTTCTCTCCAGATAAAAATGTTAAATTTTTGCTCAAAAAATTATCGTACGATATTAGCAAATCCTCTATATTTCCATTCTGATAGCCCATCACTAGCTGATTCAACTGAAACACCGATAAACAATTAATAAAATTATTACCTGGAAGATATGGTTAAAAGATATAGAATTATTATCAAACAGAAAAACAGGACGTTAGCTTGAAGCAATCTATTTTGTATTATTCAAATTTTTCTTCTGAACCGAGAAACTGCAAAAATGTATCAGCATATGTGAAAATTCTCAGTTTTGGCATCACTTCTGATTGCTCAATGATAGAGTTTTACTTCCTATCAAGTTGAATCCGGCCTCAAATTGTTGTTACCTACTTATGATAAAAGTATAAATGCAAAATTGGAACTTTTACAAAAATGCTTCTCTATTACTGCAATGTTTTAAAAGGCGCAGAAGTGTTTCGAGCTAATTGTGGCTTACATTTGGAGATTTTTGTGTCAGAAGATGTAAAACCAATAAAAATTGGCCACTGATAACTTAAAATCATCTGTATTTATCAAAATATGAGGCAAATGGCTATGATTATTACAAATATTTTTTTTAAAGATGTAAAAACTTAAAATTTTAACACGTTTGTACGAATTTGTACTGTTTGCGTTTTATATCCAAAATCACTTGGAAAGGAGAAACTTACCGTTTGATTGGCGCGAGCAATCTCTGACCTAACGCATAAAGATCCATTGAAGGGTTTAAATGATGTCTCTGAGCATTCCCTGATGATATATTTCCCAACATAACCGACAGGGCATTTCTTACGAACGGAGCAGCCAACTGCTGTGGAGGGCCAGCCATTGTCATGACACACAAAATCCTCCTCGTTGGGGATGACGCAAACTTGGGAAGTTTCAATTGCTGATCGTAAGTTGGTGCAAATCAACTGACAGGAGTATTCTGCTGATTGCTGTCAACAAACGTCATTAATTTAAATTTATTGACTAACTAGAGATCAAAAATTAATTAAAATTTTAACTGTTTAAAAATTTAGTTAAACAAAAGATTAAAACTATAAAAATAAATTAATTGTAAGTAGGGATCCTAAACTTTTACCTTTTGTATCAGGGATACTCAAAGTAATAAAAGAATTTGAGAATCTTGAAATTTAAAAACAGATAAAGATTTTAAAATTATTAACATTTGAGAGTTAAAGTAAATAAATTTTGAGATTTTACGTAAAACCATATTTCAAATATAAAGTTTTTAAATTAATTGATTTAATCAAGAATTGTTTTATTCATCTTTAAAATTTAGGGTTTGACCAATTTTGAGCTTTAAGAGATAAGTATTAAAGTAAAATAATAGCTATGTAATTTGATCTTAGTACAAGTAAATGGTGCTGTACAAGTCAATGATTCAAATTTTAAACAACCAAAAACAAGTCGAAAATTCAACTCACTTTTAATTGATTTTGGAGTTTGGCACTCCAAAGGCAAAATTAAAATATGCTTCATCAAATAACAAAGAGTGGAAAGTGCAAATTAAAAGAAAAGATATAATTAAATTGAATTTTCTCAGGAGCCCCTCGATTGATTTTAAAAATATTGAGCTTACTTTGAGGCTGAAAATATGCTGGACATGTTTCTTTTTACTGATTTGATCTACTTCGATATAAAATAGGGAATCTTACTTTTTGGACGACCCTTGCAGGACTGAATACATGAGCAGGCTTACCCTGATTTTGTGCAAAAGATTGTTTTTACTCTCTAAGCCTTGCTCAGCGCTACAATCTTACTAGGTAATGTATTCAGCCCTTTCTCAGCACAATTTTGACTGAGGACGAAGGTGGACTCTCCTATAGTAATGTACTTCACGAAGATTCAGGCTGCAAGGTAAAGAGCTTGTTTCGAGACACAGAGTTGATATTCGACAAAGTTAGTGCCACTATGATGTTTCATGCAAGATTTCACGAGGGTTAGCAGTTTAAATTGCAAATTCTCTTATCCACTAAAGACTTAATAAAATACATTAAAATATTGACTTACTTGAATATTGAGAAGTTTCAGATGAGAGCCTCCACCGATCATATTTTGAATTGAGAATCTTTTGCTGTTATTGCTGCCCACTGTATTAAGGGATACACCATTCTCAGTCCATTCATATCTTGATTGCCCGACTTCGCAAGCGGACTTCGATACACAGCGAATATCAATGTTTCCTTCCTTCAAACAAAGAAAATGATGTCATCCTTTTCATAGTGTCACTTTTTAATCTTTTGGTTTTCTCTAAATCAGTCTTCAAAAATTTACTTTCAGAGTTTTCTAAGATATCCACCTGGAGCCAGGTCAGTCTTGCTGAGGTAAAATTTGAAGAATCAAATTTTTAAACTTCAAAGCCTCACATGTAGCAAATTAAATATTAAAAAAGGTTTTTATTAAAATTTTGCAAGAACATTGTTTGCACCTTGAAAATAGCCTATTAGGAATGTGTATAAACTAATTTGCAAATTTTTGAAAACGTGAGATCATCTATAACGCAATGTACCAACTCAACAAAAACGTGACTTGCAAGCATCTTAACTGCAAAAAGCGACAATGTTGAATAAAAAAAGAGTTTGTGTTAAAATTTAAGAAAAACTGGGCTAACCACCAGAAAATTTGATATGGAATAACACTATTGAAAGAATGGCTAATGTAACATCATTTATGGAATACCTTTCTGGTCGTCACACTAAGTGGTTCGATGGTGACTTGTGGGGGAGAAACGATTGAAATTTTGACAGACTTGCAAAACTGGTTTCTTCCATTGGAAACTCGACAAGTATACCATCCTTGGTTTAGCTTACTTGCGGACAGCACTCCCAAAATCGCGATGTGCTCTGTGTGTAAAATACTCACATTGTTGCTACTTTTCCAGTTGCTGTGACTACTCACACGATACCACATCCGCCTGAAATGAAAGTAAATCAGTCACAGTTGATATTGTATGAAATGCAGAAATACCCACCTAAAAGTGGTTTAATTATAAGAGCGTTCATTGAGTAAGAATCCTCAGCCTGCATTCAGTTGTATATCACTCCCTTAATTTGATGCTTAAGGCTCTGAATTCAGTAAATCCTGAGGAAAATTATAAGCTATTTTTTTTTTTTTTTTTTTTTTTTTTTCAGGAATGGTCTGGAACATTGGGACCAATAAAATTAAAATTGATTGCTAGTATCATTGAAAAATCATTAATATATTGAGTTTACTTATATTGGTGTACAAATAAAGTATCACAAACATTACAGCAAAATATCCTACAAAAATTCTAAACAAAATGCAAGTTACACGGTTTGCAGTTTCAGTTTCAAAAATTCAATTTTGAGCATTTTTTTTTCTTTTATTTTACTTACATGTAATTTGAGTCCATCAAATATTTGGAGTTGTTCTTCATTGGATTTTATTGCAATTTTATCTATGTTGGTACAAAAATCAACTGAACTGCTTGTACTCATTCTTCCAGATACTGAAGAGTATTTTCAGGCGGAACTCATAAAATATTTATCATTGAACTAGGGGGTACGCTCGCTGACCACTTTGCGGTCCAACCCCACAAAGCGCCTTGCGCCTCAGGCGTTACGCATTACTCACATGATTTAATATTTAAGTGGGATAAGATAAATTTCATCCATAGAAAATTCTAGGAACTTTACCTTGTAGAGTTGGAAAAGTAGGGATCAATTCGTACACCATCCTTGTACCATTCAAAAGAAACATTTGCACCATTCCCAAAGGCAAGGCAAGATAACTGGAAATCATCATTTTCAAAAACTCTACTCCGATCACTTCTAAGGTCCTAAAAAAAGAGGGAAAAACGTTTGTTTTTTTTACTAAGCGCAGTCCATAAATCTCATGATTTGGTCACGTTTCTTTAAAAAAATCGATCAACCAAGTACATTGTATCACAGACCACGTGAACCGATTTTTTCCTGGATTACATATTTTAGGTCATCCTAAACTGGGGACTTGGGGGTTGAAAGGGGAATGAACCCTGATGAACTCAGATTTAGGAGTATCAGTATCAGTGCTCTTTGGGGAAAGTGCTGCACTTGCATTATTACATTTTGCAATTAATCTATCAATATAAGAAAGTGTGAAAAATTTTAGCACGGACTAATAGCACATAATCCCACATTGACTCAGCCTTATTAAGCAGAGACCCTTTTGAAGGCAACAGGGTTAGAGCCATACATGACATGCTAAGTTGCTCAATCGATAAAGAGGTTCCAGAAAAAGTTTCTTTGAGAGGTAGTTGACTCTACAAAGTTAAAATTTCGAAATCTTGAAAACCCCCGGTGCCTCCAAAAGGCAAGATTATGGGGAAGGGAGTAAATATACATACAATTAGGAGTTCTTGAAAACATTTTAGTCTGAAACAATCAAAATTGCATAGGAAGCTAATGCTTGTGTACTCATTGTTCTTTGCTATCTGAAACCAGGCTTAGAATGTGAGGTTTGAAAAAACTGTTGCACAATTTATGGTGCAAGATTCACAATTCAAGAGAATCAACTTAAATAACTGTCATCGATATAGTTTTGTTGTATGGTGCATAGAAATTTGTTTTACAAATCATGACTAGATAGCTTACTTTTAAGACTAATTCATCCATCTTGAAAAATGTTATCCAAGCAGATCCCCGAAGTTCTCTGGAATTTTTCACTACTTTCATGCACTCTGTCACTACCTCCCGAGAAAAATTCCAATCTTCTTCTTTTATTAAAAACTGTACTTTGAAATGGGTTCGACTGAGAACAAAAAAACAGAGGATAGGAATGAGAAAAAACAATTCTAACAAATCTCGGACTAAATATGAAAAATTGCCTCTTTCGAGGAAATGCACGAGATACCTAAGTCTTACTTGTATTATGAAAGACATCATTAAAGTATCTTTAAAAGTCTACAGATCTGACTTCGAAACGCAGAGCAGAATGTATGTGTTTTGCTTTGCATCTCCGACACTAAATCCAACCAAAAAGTTGGTCAAAAGAACTTTTCAATGATAATAAAATATCAATCAATCAAAAGGTGAGCGTAAGTAAAAAATTAAGAGATTAAATAACTTCTAGACCTTTTACACTGGCACTTGGATATTATTACTGACCAAGGGTGGCCGGGAATATATCTTCAGGATAGAGTAGAAGAGGATTAAGTTCTCTTCGTAGATGCCAGGTCTTAGTAAAACAACGTATAGGGCACTTACTTACAAGGTGTGGTATCTAACCCTTCGATAAAACTGCCATTCACACTGAGATACTTATGAACCTGGGAAAAAAGAAAGGCGGTTAGAGGACTAATAGGAAACAACACTCAGTCTAAATGCAAGAAAAATTGTGTCTTGTTTAATGAAAATTTATGAGAGGCAGAGAAAATCAAGTTTATCAAGGTGCTTACAGACTTCTAGAAAAGAAATTCCCTGAGGAACCATTTTCAAGGTTCCTGCTGAATCAAATAAGAAAGCCTTGACTTTTCCAATTAATGATCCATCCCACTTTTATAAAATTTATAAGTGATTTCTTTACGTTTATTCAAAAATTGATCTCCAAGTTTTTCAGTCTGCCTTTCCAAGGTTATGATATTCCTGGATCGTCAATAAAACAGTTTTAAAAACCTTTACCTGAAGGTGGAGAGAAATAGAGCAAAAGCGAAAAGTGCATGTCTTTTTCTTGAAACTTCAAAGCACTTCCCTGTTTTCCCGCATGCTTTGGATCCAACTTTTCTTACTGTCCTTTCCTGATTCGCTCTATTTTTAGCTCTGCACACACCCTGACGCAACAACCTTCACTCATTAATTTGAATCGTCTTAAATTAATCATCCATAAATCTTAATGTCTTTTATTCTTATAATGGATGTACTCTATTCTTCTTTGTATTTTATAAGTAACCATCATGTCATTGCTTACACCATACTTTATTTTTATCCTAAGCTAATTGTTTATATTTCTGTCATCGGAAGGGAACGATGAATAAATGCTTCAAAAAAAAAAAAAAAAAAAAAAAAAAAAAAAAAAAAAAAAAAAAAAAATTTGAACAAAATATTCAGCCAAAAATGAGAATGAGACTTTTATTTACTTACTGTTAGGTTGAAACTGGCGAGAAACTGGTCCAGGGATGTTTCATTGTCTCGTGCAACAAGGAGATTAGTCATATTAATGACAGCATTGAACCACTGCATTTTATCTGCGGAAAAAAGTTCACACAAAGCAAAAATGAATAAGCGATGCAGTAAATTTTTCAGGTACCATGTAAATGTGGCAAACAGCAAAAACAAAAGCTAACACATTTTAGGCCAAAAGGATAATCCATAGATTATTTTTTAATACCCCGTATCAGGGTCCGCCTGCAGGTTTTAATATTTTTAAGTGTAAACTTCATCAACTCATGACTGTCTCTTGGAGAATTTATTTTCTTCAGTAAAAATTGCTCTTTGCCTTAGCTATATCATTTCTAAGCCAACTTAGTTTAATCTAGAAAGTATTAAGAGGTAGTGTTATGCCTCTCTCCTTCCTTCATCCTTGACAACCTCTCTTTCTGGCTGATTGAATTGCAAAAGTAGTTCAGTCAAGTCAACGCTGAAGGACACTTTAAAATTGAAGATAATTGATAGGTAAGAGAAACGAAGGTTTGTTCTTCTGCTAAAGACCACCTAAAATTTACATAACACTCAGTTGAGTTGGTTCCATTCAAGTCTTGGCTGGAAGTTAGGAACAAAAATGCCGATTCTGGCATGTATGATTCTTGCGAGTCTCAAAGTCCTCGGGCAAGCAAGCCAATTAGAATCAAACATGGCAAAAACAACCTTTTAATTTCAAACTTCCCGTCGATACTGAAATGGAACCAACTCAACTGAGCATTTTGTTGATTTTGAGGGCTTGAATAAGGAAAGAGCACACCTTCGTTATATTTGCTTTATAATCGGACTGATTGGACATCATTAGCTCTACCTATTAGAAGGGCGATTGAAACAACAGAGCCCAACTTGGTGCAGCAAGGCTGCACTCTATAAAGTTTGCAACAATCCTGCACACAGCCGGTTAGCCTTGCAGTAATATGGTATAATGGTACATATGTCATTGGCATTAGTTAAGGAGCATGATTCAACTTCAGGGTACATGACAGCAACCTTATCACACTATTACTACTACCACAATGGCATCAACAACTACTACTGCTACTACTAGTACTACTGCTGCTATTACTTCTACTACCAAGAAAGGGGCAACAATAAGTAAGACGCAACAAGTACTTTTTCCTCCTATTCAATGTTGAATTAAATTAAAACTTCTGCAAATATATTGTTACTCTTTCAAGTTTGTTTACTGCTGAGAAAACCTACTAGTAAAATTTTCCGTTACGCAGCCAAGATTTATTCTTGCGGGTTCTTCACAGTCCGTCAGCAGAGCGCAATTATCTTTGGCTTCACAGCCTACAAAAAAGCATACAAAAGCTCAATTTAGATGCTTAAAATGAAAATATTTAAGACTTTAACATGAAAACTGCCTCTCTAAAAATCAGAATATTCTTAGTAACAAAAAATCCTGGGTAGAGAATCTTCTGAGAATTGGTTTCATGACTGATATTGTACAGATATATCCCTGGACTATTCTTAGAATATACTTATTTCCATAATCTGGAAAATGAATTGCTAGAATACTTTAGAGAATTGATATAAAAAATCGCCAAAATTGGAATGAGAGAGTTAATTGGACAAACCAAAGCGATGTAAATTTTTTTAAGTTCTTAAGAACTTTTAAGAAGAACTCTCTATTAAGAATTAAAAAAATTTACATTGCTTTGGTTCATTCAATCAATTCACTCATTGCTAGAATACTCTACAGGAATAATATATGACTGTAAATCTGAGATTAAGCCCAGCGCCTTAAGGAATTTTCTTCCTTGGTAAATCTTATCTAGAAAATGTATGAGAAATGTCCTCATTTTTGGCATATTCACAGGGTGGTCACTTTAAGTTTAGCAAGAATTACAGGATGAGTCACACAAATTTCAGAAATTGACATAGATACGTATAGGAAAACGAAAAAGTAGACATCTCTCATATCTTTAAATATGCAATTGAATTCTTATATCCTACAAGCATGCACATACACCTTAAGGAGAGAAAAACAAACATTTCTACTCACTTAAAATTTTGTCTCTGAAGCAAATTTTTTCGCAATCTTCATCTGCACACCTATAAAGAAAGAAAAAGAACTATACTGCTTAAAAATGTATTTGAGACAAAATTATTGTATGTATGTTGATTTTTGGCAATGTATACATTACAGAATAATTATTGCATGATAAGTTCATAGAAGAACATGCATATCCAAATAAACATAAAATGTAGAGGCTGAAGTGTATTATCTGAATAAGTGGATAATTTATGTTTGTATGTTCATTACCAACCGCTGAAAGAGGAAAGTAACTTCAACCCAGTTTTTCATTTTTTTCCAACCTCAAGTTTCATTGGAAGAAGATCAATGGCCTCTGAAAAAATCATTTTGAACTAAAGTCCATAACAGTATGATATAAATATTCTGAGATTACAGCAGCCAAAGGTAGTTCTTAAATCGAATTCAGATTCGCTGCGTTGATGAAATTTTGAAAGGAAAATACAATATCAAAATGGGGATTTTGACGAGACTGACAAAAATCGCTGGTATTTAAAAAAAAGTCGTAAAATCGAAAGTCGTTCAATCAAGGTTTTACAGAGGTTTCAAATCAAAACAATCTACTGTACCTGGTGTTGTCCACGATTTCTTGATATTCAATAGCATCAATACCCGTTGGTCCTGCCATCAGGCAAGTAAAATTAACTGATTCCTGAATATGGAAACAAAGAATTATAGTATTGTGTCTGGAAAAATGAACAAAAATTGTCTTTTTGACGACTAAATCAAAATTAGACACAGAGCAGAGCAGAGCACAATTAACGGTTAATTTTGCCTTTAAACTGGTTTTGCAATGATTTGAGTTTAAATGTGTCTCATTTGAGGCTTGCAGGATGATACACATCAATTCCCAAGACTGCGAGTCAATTGGTGAGTGGCTAACGGCCAATTTACAAGATAATCGCTTCATTGGCCACACATTGGTAACAGTGTTATGTTCTGTCACAACACACTGGTGACTGTTGCGCATGGGCAGAAAAAAGGATCTAGCAGTGCTGCCTGCATTAAGGCACGTTTACATAATGCCAAGACCAGTGCACTTACGCACATAAGAAACAATGAGAAATGTTAAAAAACGACAAGAAATGCTGAAAAACAACGAAAAGCGTTGAAAAGCAACTTCTCTGATAAAGACATAAAGTACTTCTGTGTAATACTTACCTCAATCCTGATCGCTTTCAGGACAGAGCCAATAGGAGAAACATCTTCCCAAAATTCAGAGTGACTCATGTTAAAGACAGCATTATTTTTCTTCCAAAAATAGAACAGATATGGATCAGAACTGCAAGATAAGGTGAGGTTGCTATGCTAAAAAGAAAACGAAAATCATTAAAATAATATAGAGCAAGCCAATGACAAGACACTAAAAAAGAAAAAGAGGATATTAATCAATAAATTCTTCTTTTGATGAGACTGTCAGTCAAAACAGAAGATTTCATCTTCTCTGGGTAAAAGACAGTGAACATTTCCCATGTATTTTTTTCGATTATTTTTAATGCATTTGCTAATCTCAAGAATATTCTAATGAGTCAACCAAATTACGAAACATTTGATGCGTCCGTCATGCAACACATCTTGGGATGCTCTACTTTTTGCTCCTGTTCATCAGTCCATTAAAATAAGCCACAAGTATAAGACTAAGTGCATGCTCACTTTTTCAACAACTTCTTTCTTCAATTCGACGTGCCCAGTCCATTCCGCCAATACAAATACTTCCAAACACTTGCATTGTTGAAGATAAGAGTTGAAATCAGAGGCTTGGCAAGTGTACAAGCCACGTGTTTCAAATGTTGCATTGAAAATGCGTAAAACAGAAGCATAATATCCAGCTGATAGATAAGTTGGTGTGCTGATTCTGCAAGAACACAAGACAACAATGAATAAACAAAAGATCAACTCTAATCCATTTAATATTAAACTTGATAAGTGATGCATTTTGGAATAACACCTTCAACTTCTGATGCAAAGTTTTCAAGGAACTAAGAAAATAATAAGAGCAGAAATCATACATTATTTCATTTGAGGCACTAGAGGATAACTAGGGGGCTACGCCCCCTGGCCGCTACGCGGCCCTATTTTTACCCTCCTATTAGTATTAGTTTTATTTTTCCCCTAAAAAATTTCGATATGAGGTATACTTAATAGAATGAAATAATTTTTGGTTTTGATGAATAAAGAAAAAAAAAATTTTTTGAAGTCAGAAGGACGCGTTTTGGAACGACTGCTTGATGAAATATTGCAGTAAAACAACGAACAATTTTAATCAGGTAATAATTAGGTGAGTCCGGAGTCGAGGATCGAACCCACACCTTGATCAGTGTGAGCGCTTCCGACGTCGTAGACGACTCGGCCACCGGTCGTCTTGAGATGCGGAGCGGGAATCTTGTGTAGATAAGTATAGAGCTGATGCGCAGGCTACGCACCTACTGCGCAACCTCCTCGACCACTGCGCATCCTCCCGCGCATAGCGGTAGCAGTCCCGGAGCATTCTATAAATTCACTCAGTTTTATAACGTGATTTTAAAAAAACCTGGGTCCTTTTTCCAAAATCTGATTAGAGCCGGCTCATCTAGGGCCTATTACCTGTTGATTTACGCAATAATCATGGAAATCGGCCCAGTAGAATGCTCAAACGAACTATGACAAAACACAAAAATTTACATTGTTTAAATGGGAGAATTCGCAACTTTACCACGTAATATAAAAAAACCTGGGCCATATTTTGAAAATCTAAAAAGAGTTGGCTTATCTAGAGACAATTGCCCGTCGATAGCCGTGAAAATCGGCCCGGTAGAACGCTGGAACTAAGCGTCACCAGTTTTGCAAAATTAGGAGGTCTCGGAGCTTATAGTATAGATAATGTACATACTACAGAAACATATTAAATAGATTGGTGAGAGATAGATTAATGAGAGTTGTGTGATTGGTTGGGTTTGTCAGTAATCGTTTTTATTGTGCCTAAGTCAGCTAGAATCAACAACAGGCTGAAAACCTCTATTATATGGTTGGAAGGTCTTCATCCATTCCACCGGACAAAAACACAATATTGAAGACAACTGACAAGAAAGACAAATCACATAACTCCATTTTATCTTATTCTTTTCTCGCACAGTTGACTTACACAAGATTTCAAAAAATTGGCCCCCTGTTCATAGTCGTATATGCTCATCTTTTTAAAATATTCTTCACTGTTTTTGTAATTAGACTTTATCCATGGAGAGTGTAGATAAATAAACGAATTAAAGATTTATGAAGCAACCTTCTTTTGAGACTTAAATTAAAGCAATAGTAATGTTTGCTAAATCCATCAAACTTGCCGATAATTGAATTCATCTTCGATGCGATTGTTATTCTTAAACCAAGAGAAGGTTAAGAATCTAGAGCCTTGAGCAACGCAAGTTATATTGAAATCATCACCTGGTGACCGAATTTGCTGACCTGCTGTAATTGAAATATTCTGCAAAAAAGATAAAAAGAGAACTGCATATGTTGCTGAAACTAATTAAATTAGAAAAAGTAACTGATCAGTGACTATTCAATTAAAAAAAATGAACCGAATGCCATACATTTTACTAAACAGAATCTTTTAAACAAAAGTCCACAGGGACTCCATTTGCCGATAGATACGTGGCCAAGAACAGCCCACAGAAATTAGGCAACATTACTTTATTGAAATATTTTAAGATGGTTAACAGTCAACAAATCAGGCCAGTTTTGGCTGGAGTTTAAGTAAAGTGATAGAGCACTTTACTTTGCCAGCCGCTTTAGTCTATGATTTGTATCATTAGTGGCAATAGTCAGGTAAATCAGAAGCTGCAGCTTCTGCATGATCGTATTCTAGACAGTTGTTTTGGTTATCAGTCATTAAGAATTTGAATTTTCCCGCAACTGTCTTTCTAAAGTATTTCCAGGATTTTTCATTGCCTCTGATTCACAACACCTGGTGTTCATGCCATGCCATATCAAATTATAGGAAATTGTGTACACAGCAATCGCAATTAACAATTTTAGTCCTTGGAGAGAATATCTACTATTTGAACAACATAAAAAATGAGCAGTTCTTCATTGCACTAATATCTTCCGCCAGAGCAAAATCATCATGATCATCAAGTAGCACCCTAACTTAATTTTCATTCATATTTTTTAAACCTATGGCTCAATGGGCTTTTTAGAGCTGCAAAAACTGCATAAGCAAGAGTATATAATTTTGATAATTACCAGTAAGGATAGTAACGGTTCTTCATTTAGGCTTACGCTTGTAGAATTGATTACAGTGTTATCAGCGGCAAAAAGTAAAGTCGGAGTATTTTTTATGCTGTCAATTTCTTCTCTCGATTCTTTTGGGATCATAAGGTGCACCACAACAGCAAATAGGCTGAAATTAAACAAAATTATTGAAATTTAAAATAACAGCAGGTAATACTACACTGCTTTGGTCCAAATATAAAAGAGCTGAGCCAGAGAATAGAGAATTAAGAAACAATTTAATTGAAACATAATTAATAATTTACAATAAGCGATAGAAATGAAAAATTTCACAGTGTGATTGTTCATGCTAAAAGGGACCTTTGTTCCAAAAATGCAAATCAAGTTGATAAAAGCATGAAATACGAGTTCTTCACCCACACTTTGCTGTAAAATGGGTATGTTGCAAACTTTTGCTAGAGCAAAAATAAGAGTTGTTTCCTATAGATAATGTCTCAAAAATCTCGATGAGCGCATCGGCAAAGTCTGAAATGCACTCATAACTTCACAATCTGCATAAGAAATTTGCGTTTTTTTTTTAGTTTCCCGCTTCAAAAACGATACTACGGCACAGGTGAACATTTTGTTAGAGGAGTTGCTCCATCGTCGGCAATACTCATAGAGGCCAACACTTGCGAAGTACCATTCGTAGTTCGAGGAGAGTTCAAGGTCAATCAAGGCGGGCGAGGAAAATATGAACGTCGACACGCCGATTGTTATCTGGTCTAATCCTGTTCAGGTGTTATCTAGTCCCATCACTTGTGTTTCGGCGAATTGGTGTCGGCCATGATGAATATTGCCGACGATGGAACGACTCCTCTAACAAAATGTTCACCTGTGCTGTAGTATCGTTTTTGAAGCAGGAAGCTCAAAAAACCGCACATTTTTCACGCAGATTGTGAAGTTATGGGTGCATTTCAGACTTTGCCGATGCGCTCATCGTGACTTTTGAGGCATTATTTATGAGTAACAACTATTAGTTTTGCTCTAGCGAAAGTTTGCAACAGGCCCATTGTTCATTAATGTCAAATCGAACTGATGTTACCACTGTCAGAAATTTGCAGCGCAACAAATTTGTATTCAAAGGATGCTGTTAAAAATTTCAAAATTGGTTACGTTCACATCTTAAAATTGTTATTTTTAAATGCAGCTAAACATCCTTTGAGGACACAAAAATGGACTGAACATCTTTATGTTTGTAAGGAAATGTTGCTGCTATGAACTATGATCCCTTTCCCAGAGACAGTCATTTGCTAAAGAACACTTAAATCCTCAATATTTGCCAGTACACATACATTTTCTTGCTCATATCTAGTGGTGAACATCTGAGTCTTCAAATATAAGATTGGATGGTATGAGTAAAGGTGATTCTGGCCATATGGTTTCAGCTAGCGATCTTGAAAATTTGATTAAACTTACTTGGAGCATTCAATTTCTATGGCATCTGCTGTTACATTACGGGTTCTTAGAGATGTTAAAATCTGGAACACAAGAATTTATTCATAATTATTCTGTGACTAAAGAAATAAGGCAAATAGTGACAAGCAGCAAATATTATGACGTTAGGTCTGATCTCAAGCATAAAAGAAATTTAAATGCTAAAATAGGTTCAGGATGGCAAGCAAAATTTCATTTAATCATTCCCTGAATTCTTCTAATGGCATTCCCTGACTTTTTTACAATAACGTGAGGGCACTTAGTTAATGTTGTCAGGAAGTTGGCACAACAACGCGATCAGCTGGCCTGTCGCAGACCCGATTTTTATGTGAAGCCCAGCTCTGCAAATAATTCCCTGACTTTTCCCGGTTTTCCTGGTCGCTAGCCACCTTGCAGGTTCCTTGTTCTTATTCTTTTAAAGGCTTTTTTACAAGTTTAAACTCACTTTTGAGGAGAATTCTGTTAGATAAAATTAGTAAACAATAAAACTTACCAATGTCTCTAGGCTTATGGGAGAAATAATGCCTAGACATTTGCTGGTATCTGCATTGTAGCTTCTAGCTTTAGCGGTTATAATTAAAGAATAATGGGATGGATCTGAAAAAGATGAGCATATGCTGAAAAAATGGGTAACAAGTTAAGGAATTAACCAAAATATTGATATAATTTACAGACTAAACCTGCTTAGGGAGGAAATGTTAGTCCATTAAGTAAAGCTAAAAAATATGTTTCTTTCACACCTATTAACTGGCTTTCATAACAGACTAGCTTCTTAAAGTTATTCCTCTGACAGATTCTTCAACCTAGATCCTACCTCTTCTTTTATCCCTGATGGAGAAAATGCAATTACAGAGAGTTCAGGGAACATCGAAAACCCAGAAAAAGAAATTTTTGCGAATTCTTTAGGGTCTTTTACTTTAGGGTCCCCCTCAAATGCTCTAAAAGCAAAGTGAAATGTCTCATAATGTGTCTTCTAAGAGTTTTATTTATAGGTTTGAAAGACACTCCTTGTAACTTAATGCAAATCATAAAAACAAATTTTAAAACTCACAATCGCAAACTGATTGCCGATGGCCATAATTGCACTGCATCAAACAATTGGGATTATTTTCACAATCTGGAACATAGATTGAAAAAAAAAGAAATTTTTAAAAGAAAATTATTTGACTAACAATTTTGAATGGTTAAATGAGATAAAGTGTGTTGTGCCCAAAAATAAAAGGAAACATATTTTCTTAAAAATGATAAGGTGAAAGAAAAATTCATCTAAAATATAACAACAAAATAAAAATAATAAAAAAAAACAGTAACAATGACTATACTCCACCCCCCCCCCCCCCAAAAAAAAAACCAGTAACAATGACTATACTTCACATTGTTTGAGAAGAATGGAAACACAAGTAGTAATTTAAGCAAAGATTTTAAATCTTCAATGAATACAAAAACTGTCATTCCTAAAAATGAAAGGGACAGAACAGTCTATGAAGGAATCTGAAAAATTCTATTGCAGCATTTCAAAAAAACTTTTTGTGTCCATAAAACAACAGAAAAACCTTTTCAATTCAATAATAATGTGATATGAGTAAAACTTAAGTCTGCTGATTTCAAATGAGGGGCTTGAAGGACAAGATACATAAGTGCAGTTTTTGAAAAAATTGAGATATTAATTATTCAAGTAAAACTAGACTTAATGCATTTACTGTGAAAAATTCGCTCCCAAATTCCGATTTTTAAGCATCAAAAAGTCAGTCTGAATTTTCTTTCCGGAATAAGGATCCATGTAATTTCGAAACTTCAAACACATGTTCCTCGAAATAGCAAAAACTGCACTTATGCGTCTTGTCCTCCAAGCCCCTAAAATTTAGTGGAATTTACAGGGCTCATAATGTTTTACCTCTAGCAGAAGCAAGGCATTGAGCAGATTCATGATAGGTCAGTACTTACATTCGCAAGCTGACATTTGCTGTGGATTTGCTGTGCACTTCCCTGAGCATGGTGCGTCATCATCGAGGTCTGCAAAGAAAACATTAAACTCAACTGGGATTGTAGGCTATACTTAAAAAATGAGAAAGAAAAAAAAAACAAAAAGAAGTGGCCCAAACTGTACGTAACAAGGTGGAGATATGGTGCTGGGTCCACACCATTTCACGGGAAAAACAAAGCCGAGAAGTTCCAAAAATTATAATTAGAGTCAAAAATAAATGTTTAAAAAAATATAATAATGTCATTCTTTGAAAATGCACCAGTAAAGTACTTGAAAATTGACACTCCATCCCAATCGGGAACTTCCATGTTGTCCCTATGAATGAAAAAGAGTGATTTTAGTAAAAACTGAAGAGTACCAGTGGGTGGCTATTCATTAAATTAAATTGTTTGCCTACGGTCTTTTGATTACAATTACACACTAGCGTCACTCGTGAAACTTGTGCTTTTTCCAAGTAAAACTAACCTTCATATTCTGCTTGTATTTCACTCGAGGTTGATTTGTCACACAGGACTCTTGATGCTCCAACCGATCTAAAATTAGGATTAACAGTAAAACAGTGAGTAAAATATTCAGTTGAAGGAAAACGAAAGTAAGAAAACAAGAAAGAGACACATAAATAAAAACTTTCCTTCGGTAGAAGAATATAATTTCTTGCATGGAGGGTAATAGATCTCCAAATTTTAGAGGTGCGGTTGATTTTTCGCAAATTCCACATACAAGAGGGAGGAGAAGGAATTTATGGGACTTTATGATGCTAGACATAATTTTTTACTTTGTCACCTAGGTAATCTCCCAGCATATCCGTTATGTCGTTAAGGGCTCTTCTTATGGAATTCAAAATTCAGCAAGCGACCAGCGCGACATGCGCACTAGCGCCTACAAACCTAACAGGGATACTTCATGCATTGCGCAATGCGTGAAGTATACCTGTTAGGTTTGTAGGCGCCAGTGCGCATGCCGCGCTGGCAGCACGCCTCACCGCTCTGTGTTTGGGTCTAATTTTAAAACTCACGGAGTCAGCGTTTTTCAACTCATAATTTTGAAAATTATTTTGAATATCTACTTGTCTTAATTAGTCTTTGTATAATTCGAGTCTCAAGGTGAATGCAATGCTTAAAAAATCTTTAAAAACAAGATGTACCCTGAATGATGAGCAAACAATGTTATACCTGCAAGTGGCTCCGTTTTTACAAGGGTTTTCTGTATCATTACAAAGGGGTCCAAAACTGCAATCATGGCCATAGTATTCATCGAAACAGGAACACTTGTATGTCCTGTAACATAAGAATACCAAATATTAAAAATCTGATAAATACAACATCTAAAAAATGTGAAGTTCAGACTCCTGGATATTGGATCATAAATGCCTGACACTGTGCAACTATATTCTCCATTTACCTACTTATAAACGATTAATAAAATGAGTTCCATGCTTCAGGAGGATACGAAACTTACAATGCACAGAGAAATTGCAACTTATTAAAATTTAATTGCATGAACAATGAGAGGGGCCCCATCAATTAGTAGATGGGCAAAATACCTCCCACTGCGGTTCAATAGAAATATTCCGTTCAATACCGTGAAATCGCGTCATTAGCAGGCCACTAGACAAGGTATTCACTAAAGCACTGCAATGTGCTTTCTTCTCAAAATGTCATGAGGAGTACAAATCACTTAGCGGGAAGTCTGAAAGTCATCTCCTTAACAAGATAAAAGTGTTTATGACTAAATTCAACGGTGTAAGTCCTTGTAGACTAAGGAAGAAAATGATAGACTAACTAAATGGTCTCTAGTGAGTTGCCGTTAGTGAGTCTATTACCTACCTCCTTTGTCCATTTAAACCACCCACTTACACCAATACCGCCGTGCTAAGAAAAAACGCGGTATGAGCCTTTAGACGTTGCCAGATTCCCTTCAACGAATCACGAAATTTCGGCAGAATGTACAACCATTTTTCTCCTAGCTCTTTGGAGAATTTTGTTCGTTAGGTACATCATTTAAGGCGTCTGAAAATTTCAAGGAAAAATATTTATGACTTCCTTTAAAAATACATATTTTCCGAGAGGAAATTTGGCAACCAGGGGCGGACTGGCCATGGGGACGGGGAGGCGATCGCCTCCTAACAATTTGCCGCGGAGGTCCTGAAGGGGCCCCCGCGGTGATTTTTCTCGAGTCATCGTTTTTCCCCGCAATGTTGAAATTTTCCAATATTTTTTAGTCACTACAAGGCCCCAAAATCTTTGAAAATTTGCCTCTAAGAAACATAGAAGGTCGCCGAAAGCCCATAGTACAGAATATAAGGGGGAAATCTAGTGGGCTCCTGGGGCCCCGGAAGTGATAGGGGCCCCTGAAGAATCCTGAGAATAGATTATTTTGAAGTCCAAATACTCTTGAATTTGACTCCAAAAATGCTTAAAATTGCGTTTTTAAAGAGTAAAATTTTCAAATTTCTCCGGGGTAGGCCCCCAAACCCACCAGAGAGGGGCCCCCAAATCTAGGCCACCTCCTGACTTTTCGATTGCCAGTCCGCCACTGAACATGCGAATGCTCTTACGGCGGTTTTCCTTAATACGGCAGAATAGGATCTCCCCACATCCTTTTTGTCCTCTCTGTCTATAGCTTTGTCTACCGATTTCAACAACCAGCCCACTGCGGGCTACTAGGGAAGTATGTTAACATACTCGAAGTCGGCGCTGGCAAGGCATTGTCCGAGGAAGGAGCAGTTGACGACGTTGCAGGTGTCTTTGGGGGTGGCGCCGAGCTCGTAGGTGATGTTGAAGCCGTAGACGTCCAGGAGAGCGTCCTCGACGCGGAGGTGGTTCCCCTCGAGGCGCTCCAGCTTCAGCTCGATCTCCAGGTACCTGCTGGAGCTCGTGTAGTTGTGCGAGTGGAGGAGGTCGTACATGGTCACCTCCCGCGTCGAGCAGGAGTCGCTCGGCCTCCTCTCGTCTTCGTCCTTGTCGTCGTCGTCGTAGTCCGTGAACGTGAGCCCCGAGCGGAGGAAGAGCTGCGTCAGGTAGACCGTCACGTTGGAGCTTCCCCATCGACTCGTGTCGATCCGCCACCGGCAGTGGATCGGCGTCGGGAACGGCCCCGGGAAGTTGGGGCTCGCGATCACGCCCCGCGGCTCCGTCAGGTTCACGACACCGCCCGCACACGCGCAGCCCACCGCCGAGGGACCCAGCGCCCACAAAATCACCCCCAGTAGCATTTCCTTCGAGTTCTCACAGTTCGTTCATCAACGACCTCCAGGTCGTGGCGATGATTCTCACAGTTCGTTCATCAACGACCTCCAGGTCGTGGCGATGATTCTCACACTTCGTTCATCGCCGACCTCCAGGTCGTAGCGATCAAGCGATCGAATTGAGCATTCAAACCGACGAGGGAAGTCCGGTCTGTTTCACAAAGTTCCCTTGCTTTGTCATGACTTCTTGGACCTTAAGTTGGCGGGATGGGATACTCGGGGTTTCGCCGGTTTTTCGAGGTTTCTTGATATGCAAAAGTATCTAAAAATAGAGGACCTTTATAGCGAGAGTATGGACAGATCGCTTCATGGAGGGCTTAGGGCCCAAAAGTGCAGCCGCCATCCTTCTATCCAACTTCTAACACACGAAATTTTACTGCCAGCCTGCAAATTTCAATTCTAACCAAGATGGCCAAGAATGTACAGAAATGAGCGTTCTTTCGCAAAAATACGTAAATTTATGCAAAAAGTAAGCCAAATACGTGCTTTATAAACGACGGTTCGTAACAATTGTATTAGTAAATCGCTCTGGACATTCGAAATTCATAGGTTGGCTGCATTTCTGGGCCCTGACTTTATTCGCGGAGGCATCGGTGAAGGCCTGATGGATTTTCGGAGTTTCACATCTGTCTATACTCTCGCTATACAGGCACTCTACTAAAAACTAGGCGTCGTTGTCTCCGCGGGACGTTTCGTGGGATTTTTGAAAAAATTAGAACGCTCGCTGTTAATCTCACCAAAATGAAGCGAGATCGCTGTTATTTTCGATTCCTAATTTTCCGAGTTCAGCGATGAGGCCTTAGAAGTAGAAGTTTCCACCTGCAAAGAAGGACCTGACGTGCGGTCTTCATTTGTATTTCGGCAAGGGTGCAAAATTTCCACGATCCTGCAATCCTAGGATTGCGGACTCGCAGTGCACACCGGTCGGACATCGAGAAATAATAATTCGAGGCTAACGCGCAATGCGCGAAGTATTCCGGCAGTCTTGCAGGCGCTAGTATACGTTGAGCACGCACCGCACACCGGTCGCACGCGCACCGTGGTGTAAGTGCAATGCGTGAAGTATTCTTGCTGTCTTGTAGGCGCTAATATGCGTTCTGCTACGGCCGGCCGTCCTGATTTGGGCACGATTTTTCAAACTCGCACAGTCAGCGTTCATCAACTTGTGATTCGGAAGTCTTTGCACGCACAGGTGCACTCTGAATGGATTACTGTCATTTAAAATGTTAAAAAATATTGAAAAATTACACATAAACCGACAAATTTGACCAAATGAACGGTCTTAAAATATGTAGAATCACTGGAAATGCATTGTTTGTAAGAGATACTTTACGCACGCTTACTTTTGGTGAGAATAACAGCGATTTCGCTTCATATTAGTGAGAATAACAGCGAGCGCTCTAATTTTTGGAGAAAAAAACTGCGACCTCACAGGATTGCAGGACCTGGCATAAAATGAGTCTCAGGTTAGTGAGATGATCGCTCTTTAAAAATTCGTGACAAAATGCGAGATTTTAAGGAAAGAGAGAGAATGAAGAGCAAGAGGATGAGATGCGCAACGATTTGAATTCCCACCACAGAACGCACTTTAGGAGGCGGTTAACTTCAAAATTTAAGCTACATATGTAAAACGAACTTTTAACCTAACTACGATACTTGGGAAAGATGAACTATTCTACATAAAGGAAACGTAGCTGCAGATAAAGTGGAATAAGGTCTGATGAATCAGATGCATAGATCACTAATGAACACCTGAGTAAATACAAACTGTCCTCACTGCCCCATGTAGAGTGAGTACATCAGCGACGCATCACCTACTCGCCGACTGTCTGCCGATTTGACTTTGTATTCTATTTTCCCAACAGAAAAAATAAGCATAAAAAATAGGATAATCATAGGTGGAACTGTTAACTTTTGGCAGGAAGGCTACCGTCACCCGGCACTCCATCGAAGGAGTCTGGGGCACAAAAAGACACCCTACTGCTTGCTGAGGGACTCCCCATCTCCAAAGGAGCGTTCGAGGAATTTCCCTAGCTTCAGTGGGGGTCTGGAGGGCTGTTCTCGACAAAGAGGTCGTTCCATCCCCCATTAGATTTGGCCCCCTATCAAATATGATCCATTTTTTCAGGAGTGATACAGTAGCATGCGAGACGTTCAAATATGGCGGTCATTTTGACTTAGGCCCCCCCAGAGAGGGGGGGGCGGGGGGTCAAAGACAAAACCTGCAACTGCCCATAACTTTTGAGCGAAAAATTGGATTGAGTTGAACTTTTTTTAAATGAAAGATCTCAAAAAGATCTATCTGCTGGTACCAGAAAAATTGAAAAAAAGTTAAATTTAATGCAAGTTTTTAGCAATTTTTCAATTTTTTAGAGGACAAAATTTTCAATTTTGTCGTGTTTCGGCACCGCGCAATGACTCTACCAAAACAAAAACCAGTTTTTTAAATTCTACACTTAATTTCCTATAAGATGCTAAAAACCGCATCTTGGGGAAACGTTTAGATCGCGAGCTATGGCTCGTCAAAGTTAGCCCCGCGCTGAGCGCGCGCCCCCTGCGCTGTTCGCATATCCTTTACGCGTCTGCTACCGATCCTGTTGCCCCTCCTCCCCCTTCCTAAATGCAAATTAACATTCTACTACCCAGCTTTCGTATATATCTGCGTTATAGGTACGTGAAAATTTCAGCCAGTTCGTGATTTCCAGTGGAATTGATGCTTTATTTCGCTTCCCCCCCCCCCAACCCGGCCGCTGTGCTTCAATTATTGTGCGAAAAAGAAATATATAAATTTTCTTGTTACATGTTTTTGCTGATGTAGCACCCTGTGACTACGAGATCGAATTGAGGTAATTTTTTATCCCACCTCCCAACCTCCTTGTGTACCCTGTGTGTATCCTTGTGTAACTGCTTTCAATTCACTTAATAAATTACTTTTCTTTATACCTATTCTGTTCATTTTAGCGTGTAATCTAGAAAACAAATACCTCCAGTTAGACACATGAAAAAACTATTACAACTTGAAGGCAGGGGCACGCTTCAGTGCCAGTGGCCGGGTTGGGGGGGGGGGGAAGCGAAATAAATCATCAATTCCACTGGAAATCACGAACTGGCTGAAATTTTCACGTACCTATAACGCAGATATATACGAAAGCTGGGTAGTAGAATGTTAATTTGCATTTAGGAAGGGGGAGGAGGGGCAACAGGATCGGTAGCAGACGCGTAGAGGATACTAGGGGGCTACGCCCCCTGGCCGCTACGCGGCCCAACCCCCTGAAGGCGCTCCGCGCCATCAATAGGCCGCTTCGCGGCCCTATTTTTACCCTCCTATCAGTGTTAGTTTTATTTTTCCCCTAAAAAAATACGAAATGAGGTATAATTTAATTTTAAACCTTAATTAAAATTACTTGAAAATTAAAAGGACGCGTTTTGGAATGACTGCTTGATGAAATATTGCAGTAAAACAATGAACAATGATAGTCAGGTAATAATTAAGAGTTCATGAATCGGAGATCGAACCCACCCTGTGATCAAAGCGGACGCATTAGACGTCTTAGACGACTCGGCCACCGCTCTACATGAAGTCCGATGCGCGAATCTTGTGTAGATAAGTGTAGAGCTGATGCGCAGGCTACCCAGCTACTGCGCAACCTCCTCGACCATTGCGCATCCTCCCGCGCATAGCGGTAGCAGTACCGGAGCATTCTGTAAACTCACTCACTTTTATAACGTGATTTTAAAAAAAACCTGGGTCCTTTTTCCAAAATCTGATTGCAGCGGGCTCATCTGGGGCCTATTACCTGTCGATTTACGCAAAAATCATGGAAATCGGCCCGGTAGAACGCTCAAACGAACTATGACAAAAAGTATAAATTTACATTGTTTAAACGGGAGAATTCGCAACTTTACCACGTAATATAAAAAAACCTGGGCCACATTTTGAAAATCTGAAAAGAGTTGGCTTATCTAGAGGCAATTGCCCGTCGATAGCCGCAAAAATCATGAAAATCGACCCGGTAGAACGCTGGAACTAAGCGTCACAAGTTTCGCAAAATTAGGAGGTCTTGGAGCTTATAGTATAGAAGAAGATGCGAACAGCGCAGGGGGCGCGCGCTCAGCGCGGGCTAACTTTGACGAGCCATAGCTCGCGATCTAAACGTTTCCCCAAGATGCGGTTTTCTGCAACTTATAGGAAATTAAGTGTAGAATTTAAAAAACTGGTTTTTGTTTTGGTAGAGTCATTGCGCGGTGCCGAAACACGACAAAATTGAAAATTTTGTCCCCTAAAAAATTGAAAAATTGCTAAAAACTTGCATTAAATTTAACTTTTTTTCAATTTTTCTGGTATCAGCAGATAGATCTTTTTGAGATCTTTCATTTAAAAAAAAGTTCAACTCAATCCAATTTTTCGCTCAAAAGTTATGGGCAATTGGAGGTTTTGTCTTTGACCCCCCGCCCCCCCTCTCTGGGGGGGCCTAAGTCAAAATGACCGCCATATGTCAACGTATTGCATGCTACTGTATCACTCCTGAAAAGATGGATCATATGTGATAGGGGGCCAAATCTAATGGGGGATGGAACAACCTCTTTTAAGTCATTGAGCCGTTTCAGGAGCAATTTTGAGCTGTTCTCGCCGAAAAATTGATGCAATCACAATAATTTCCGAGATGAACGATATGTCACGCACTTAATTAGCAAAATCTCGCAAATTTCTATGGAGGGGGAGGGGCAGCGACAGCCCCCCTTCCTAGTTCCGCCCATGAGAAAAGTCAATTCGAAAGTATTAGCAGAGCTTCAGATGAATTTGTCAAGGATCTACACGGCTTTCAGATTCTTGATCGGTAATAGGTGCCTGGGCGCATGGTAATATCGTTCGCGCGGAACTAAAGTTCTTAAGTCTCTCTTTAGCGCTTCTGTGCGCTCTGTGACATCCAACGGCCACTGATAGCGATCCTGCCAGAGCTCCTCCTTAGATTCTTACTGATTTTTATGATTCAACCAAAACAGAATTGGTTCTATGACAAACGCGACGGATGGCCTCCTTGTCGAAGACCTGGGTACTCACGAAATCCGTATGGAAAGAAAAAACAACAGGTGGTAGTCACGTGTCCGTTTTTCATGAAATCACTACGCGCAGAGTGGTCAAATTTGCAATTTCCACGAATACGGTTTACGACTCGCGATGTTTCAGCCCGAGACAATGCCTTACAAGGGGCAGAGCGGGGGGGGGGGGGTCTAAAAATGGGGAAAAGTGCCTTACGTAATTTATGAATGGCCCCTAATTACGATGGGAGGGAAGTCGAGACGATTTGAGCGAGTACAGAGTTGGAAGAACGCGGAACGGTAAAAGGCTGAACCACGGCGGATACTGTCATACGGAGGGCGAAGAGCGTAGGAAGAGGTGCTTGTTGTCAATGCAGAAACGCAGCGGCAGCGATAAGCGAGCAGTAAACTGCCGTGCTGAGGAAAAACGCCGTATGAACCTTCAGGCGTTGCCAAATTTCCTCTGGTAAACCGCTAATTTTCAGGACATTTTTTAAATATTTTCCTGCCAATTTCTAAGATATTTTTGCTCGTAATTCGATCTAAATAGTCTGAAAATTCCAAGGAAAAATATTCACAATTTTCCTCAAAAGTAAACATTTTATCGTAGGAAATTTGGCAACTCTCGAATGTTCATACGGCGTTTTTCCTTAGCACGGCAGTAAAACGCGGCGCATGCAATACGAGTTGACCGGCGCGGCTCGTCGTCGCACAATGGATCGAGTCAATCAGAGAGGCCGGACATGAAATTTTTGACCAAAACTGTAAATTTTGATGTTTATTTTGTCACATTTTGGATTTTACAGGGTGCTTCTTAAGGAAAATTTCACGAGGAAACCGATGGAACCACTTTTAGAGCCTCAAAGCTTTGCATAGACGGAGATATAAGCGCTTAAAGTTTCCAAATTTTGTCCGACCTCTCCTATTGACTCGATCCACTGTGCGTCGTGCGGGTGCGAGTCGCAGGAAAAGATTATTTTCACACAGGAGAACAAAAGCGGATGAGCTGCGCACTCGATTCCGAGCACTGGTGTTTCGAGCATCAGCAATAATTTTTTGCCGAGCCACCATCTTCCGCTCGGGACGAACCGCGCGCGCCGCAGGACACGACCACCATACTGCCGTGCTAAGGAGGAACGCCATATGGAACGCGTTAAACAGAAAGGAACCAAGCCACATCAGCTATTGCCAAATTTAATTGGGCAATTTAATTTGTTACATGAAAACGGTTGCGCGGATTTTTGTGTAAATTTCAGTGAAAATTTTCCATGGTACGAAGCCAATTCCTTAAAATTTTCAAAGAAATCCGAACAAACGTTCCCTCGTAAAAAAATTAATTGCCCAGTTAAACTTGTCAATAGCTGATGTGGCTTGGTTCCTTTCTGTTAAACTCGGTCCATATGAACATTCGAGAGTTCCCACATTTCCTTGGATCAAATGTTTATTTTTGAGGAATCTTATGAATATTTTTCCTTGCTTTTTTCAGGAACTTTAGATAAAATTGCGTACAAAATTATCTGAAAAATCGAAAGGAAAATATTCATAATTTCACCAGGAAATTCGTGTTTTTTCAGAGGAAATTTGGCAACGCCTGAAGGCTCATACGGCGTTCTTCCTTAGCACGGCAGCATACTGCCGTCCTACACTGCCGCCGTGCTAAGGAAAAACGCCGTGTGAGCCTTCGGACGTTGCCGAGTTTCCTGCGATACAAACCGAATTTACTGGGAAAATTGCGAATATTACTTTCCGAAATTTTCAGACGATTTTTTACGCAATTTAATCTAAAATATCTGAAAATTTCAAGGAAAAATATGCATGAGTGTTGTCAAATATACATGTTTTATCGAGGGAAATTTGGCAACGTCTGAAGGCTCATACGGCGTTCTTCCTTAGCACGGCAGTACAGAAAAACGCCGTGAGAGCATTCGAGAGCTGCCACATTCCCTCCACATAAAATGTTCATTTTTGAGGAAAGTTATGAATATTTTTCATCGAAATTGTCCGACACGTCAGATTGAACGACGAACAAAATTCTTTGAAAAATTGGAGGAGAAAGATCCACAAATTTTCCCGGATCTTCTTGATTTGTCAGAGGAAATTGGGCGACGTCTGAAAGCCAAAACAGAGTTCGAAACTCATCTTCGAGTTTCAGGAGCCACGTGGCTCATCAAGCTCGATTTTTAGGGGCCATTGAAGATTTTCTAGGGGCCAAATTGACATTTTGCCCGTGTATTATGGCACATTCAGTGAAAATTTAGACGCAAGATGTTTTATTAGTTACAGAACAACAGGCTGTAACTTGGGAGAAATTTCGAAAAATCAACGAACAGAAAAATTAAGATTTCTTTCTGGGGGGGGGGGGGCGGCAACTTTTAGGGACCACGTTGGTGCAAAGCCTTCATTTGTTAGGCGCCATGACTGATTGCTTAGGCGCATTTGGCGCCTGTGAGTTTCGAACACTGCTCATAAACGGCGTTTTTCCTTAACACGGCAGCATAGAGTTTCAGAATTACACTTCAAGGGATCACCGATAATGGACGTTGCAAATACTGCCTTCCGCGGTAAAAACATAAGAACACCGTGACTCCATTTTAGATTTTCAAATTATTTCCTCGACACAATGATTTACATAAAAAAACCTGACAAGCAGGGCCGGATTAACGGGGTAGCCACATGGGCCGTGGCCCATGCGGTAAATTTTGCAATTTCTTTGAATGTAGGTATAAAAAAATCGGATTCAGAAAAAAAAATTATCAATGACAAAAAGGGACGAAATCTCTCTTTCCTGAGAGTATAGTAATTTCTAATTTTGTCGGTTTTCGGTGATACAAGAAATGGCATCTTTAATTGGTAGAGTGAAGAGAGGAACTAAACACGCAATTTGGCTTTGGAGCTCAACGCAGAGAGGAATGATGACGAGGACTTGAGATGAAAAAGACAAGCCCTCGGCGCGGCGTTTGGCATGCAACACATACTTCACCCATTGCACCAAACACAGTGCGGTCAAGAGCGGTTGGCGTGAAACGTATAGCGCCTACAAGACTGCAGGAATACTTCACGCATTGCGCCAATCACAGTGCGATCAGCGCGGCGCGGCGCAACGGCGGAAGTTAAAATTATTAAACCACATTTATGTTTGTTCTTTCGTAATTTTTTGGTTCATTTCTTATAAATGGAGGACTTTGTCCACATAGAGATAGGTATACGGAACTTAACTTTCGCGCAAAGTTCCGTGAAATTTTGCTAGTAATGTTGACAGGGCTTTCGCAAAAAATGTATCCAACACGAGTGGTAAACGCGTCTTTATATGCACCCCTCCCCCTCCGGCACGTTCACTTGATGGTTTTTATTGATGTTTCAAAACGAATGAGAAGTAGGCGACAAAATACAGGCGGCCTATGGGCGGCAAGTAGGTAAATCCGGTCCTGCATGCGCTCAGTCCGATTTTCTGGTCGAAAAAGCTCCACGAGTCCGCTGGACCACGTTATTGGCGAGAAACGCGAGTGGTCGCTAATTCTCAAAAACACTCGTTTTTTAGGGTTTCTCTGCGCAGGACGCCTCGCCAAGCGTCGGGACCATGCGCAATCGAGTATACGCCTCGAACTACTCGTCCAAAATTGAGAAAAATCGACAGGGGTTATAGGAATTAGAAAAAATCAAAAACTATCCTTAGGAGATAGAAGTAAAGTCATATCCTCAATTAGTACCTCCTTCATTGCGAAATGAGGACGAAGGTGATACACATGGCGCAACTTGCAACAGTTGGAGCAGCGAGGCTTGTTGTTTGGAAACAAAATCGCCACAGGTTCGCCTTCAAATGTGGCGATACAACCTAACCCCACACCGAAATTAATTAAGTTGCATCAATCGATTAGCTATACTCTCCTATCCAGGATCTACGTTAGAGAAAACTGCTAGGTAGTAGGCTTTTTTGAACTGCTAGTTTGAAAGACAATACCTCATAGCTTTCCAATGAGGAGGGTATTCGCTCGCCGAAATGGTTCCTGAAAGTACTGTCCGATACGATATGTTACGCCTAATACAACTTAGCGACCCTAAAAACAACCTGACGACATTTTACCGTAGTCGTCATCCGACTCGGAGATCGAAGAATCCAAAGGGCGATTAGCCCGATCGTCAGATCCCACCGCGGAAATCGGGAAATTCTGCAAGTGCGCAGCAACCCCTGTGTCGCGCGCGCGTAGATATCAGTTACTGCGTGATTTTGCTTCCGATTACTGCTAATGGAGATGTTGCATGTGTGAGGAATTTGCAAATTGACTGTTGATTCTTATGTAAAAGTTCGCGAGAAACACGATGGTGCCACTGGTTTTCTCTGAAATCGACTCCCAAGCTCATAAAAAACTCTCAAGTTGCGGCCAAAATGGAGGGGATATCCCACGCTATCCCGAGAGTCCACCTCTACATCAAGACAAACTCTCCATGCAAAGATAGGGAGCGAATACATTGACAGGGCTGCCACTTCATTTGGGGACTCAAAGACTGAAAACACGACATCCATGCTAATGTATTTGCTCCCTATCTTTGCATGGAGAGTTCGTCTTGATGTAGATAGGTAGACTCTCAGGATAGCGTGGGATATCCCCTTCATTTTGGCCTCAACTTGAGAGCTTTTTTTGAGTTTGGGAGCTGATCTTAGAGAAAACCAGTGGCACCATCGTGTTTCTCGCGAACTTTTACTGAAAAATTAGTAGTCAAATCGCAAATTCCTCACACATGCAACATCACCATTGCTGGGTAGTAGCTTTTTTGAACTGCTAGTTTGAAAGACAATGTCTAATAGCTTTCTATTGAGGAGGGTATCCGCTCACCGAAACGGTCTCTAAAAGTACTGTCCGATTCGATGTTACGCCTACTACAACTTGGCGACCCTAAAAACTACTTGACGACATTTTACCGTAGTCGTCATCCGACATGGGAGATCGAAGGATCCAAAGAGCGATTAGCTCGATGTCAGATCGCACCGCGAAAATCGGGAAATTCTGCAAGTGCGAAGCAACCCCGTGTCGCGCGCGCGCGCGTAGATATCAGTTACTGCGTAATTTTTCTTCCGATTACTGCTAATTAATGGTGAGCAACGTGTAGAAAGACAGTGATTTGGTGGAAGAACAGCATTTGGTGATTTACCTGAATATCAGCAGAAAACGGGACAAAAATCACGCAGTAATCTACGCGCGCGCGCTGAGGGATTCTTATGCGCTACCAGGGCCGGATTTACCTACGTGCCGCCCCCTTCTCAGTCGTTTTAAGACATCAATAAAAAACCATCAAGTGAACGTGCCGGAGGG